CTTAAATGTTAGTGTGCTCCAGGTCTGTGCTTTAATTTGGCAGGTTTTTTGTTTTTTTGGTAACATGACAGCAGGAAATTAAGAGAGAAAAAGAAGGAGACATAACGACGGCTTCGTTCCTTATTTTCTCGTTTCTAGGACGAGAGCGCAGGTTGTCATGGCAACTGTCGGCAAGGGAGTGAGGGGCAGCCAGGGATGCTGGGACAGGACATAGACAGAGAGAGAGAGAGAAAGAGAGAGAGAGATTGGTCTGATTCCTCACTGTTAATAAACGATCTTCTCTCTCTCTCTCTCTCTCTCTGGGCTTCATTTGAATTTTAGATTCTTATAAATTATTAAGAGATGCAACCACAGAGACTACGAGAGGACAGATCAAGAGATGGAGCAATGGCGGGGGGGGGTATGAAGGAGATAAAGGAGGAAGGAGCTGCAGAGAGGAGAGATAATGAAAGAGGAGAATGAAGAAGTGTGTGTCTCATGTGTGCGTGGGTGAGAGAAGTGGAGGATGAACTGAGACGGATGGAGGCGTCTCTGGGTGTTTGCAGGAGGAAACAAAAGGCGGAGACGCATCCAGACACAGATGAACATGGATGGGGGGTGGGGGGGGGTCTCATAATGCAGCTCAGTGTAGCGGAGGAAGAGGAGGAGGAGGAGGAAGAGGCAACAGAAGGGAGAAAGCAGCTTAATGACTGTAAACAGTGAGACACATACGATACAGAGGAAACTGAGTCTGTTTATTATCTGTCAGCAGGAGAGAGACAACAAATATAACACAGTGAGTGAGGAAGAGGAGGAGGAAGAGGAGGAGGAAGATGTGTAGAGACAGAAACAGAAACATGTAATTACAACCATAATGAAGGTTGTAAGAGTCTTCATCAGAGCTGGGTGCTGCAGAATGGAGGAAGAGGAGGAGAAAGAAGACGAGGAAGAAGGATGAGGAGGAGATGAAAGAGGAAAAATAGGAGAAGGAACATGAGGAGGAGGAAGTTCAATAGAATAAGGAGGAAGAGTAGGAGAGAAAAGAGAAATAGGATGAAGAGGAAGATGAGTATGAGGAGAGGAGGAAGAGCTGTGTGCTGCAGAATGGAGGAAGAGGAGGAGAAAGAAGACAAGGAAGAAGGATAAGTAGGAGGAGGAAGAGGAGCAGTGTGAGGTGGAGCTAGAGAAAGAGGAGGAGGAAGATGAGGAGGAGGAAGATGAGGAGGATTTTGAGAGATGTCTCCTCCTTCAGTGTAAAGTTCATTCTCAGTGCTCTGATGGATCAGCAGTCAGTTATCTCCTGTTTTACTTTGAAAGAGTCCTTCCTGTCTCTGTTTGATGCTCTGATTAGTTTTCATTGTCCCTGAGTTTTCTTTTGGTTTCGCTCTGTCCCCTGAACCTGAACCTGTCTGTCTGTCTGTTACCTGTCTACCTGCCAGAAAGATATTTTCATCCAGTTAACCACTGAAGTCTTCCTGCTGCTGTTTGTCTGCGTCACTCAAACCCCAAAGATCCAGTTTAATATTAACATATAATGTTTAATATTAATATATAATGTTTAATATTAACATATAATGTTTAATATTAACATATAATGTTTAATATTAATATATAATGTTTAATATTAAAGAAGACCAGTAAATATTCCCGTTAACGAGATGACTCAGCAGGTGCTTCACATTATGCTGCATACTAGAACCACATGATGCTCACGAGAGAGGAATCTTCCTCCTTTTTAATCAAATCAGCATCTCTCTGGAAAAACCCTTTCCTGAGGACTGGCAGGAAATCATTCTGCTGGAGGGACAACGGGGGACGTCTCTACCAGGACAACACTGTAAAATGCTTTGAGACCTTGATCAATCAGTTCTGGAGAAATCTCCAACTCCGTCTGCTTAAAGTCTGTGAAATGTATTCAGTGTAACATTTTGAACAGAGTTTCCCTCCAGCAGGGTTACAGGACTGATACCATCCGTTATTTAGTGTGTTTGTTTTTTGGACATCGATGGCTATCAGTCCAAGTTTGGGTTGTACTCAGACTCTGGAAGGAGACCGAACCCCTGGATGATCCAGAATGGCTGAATACGCTGGCAGGAACAGCTCCATATGACCCGTTCCTGACACATTACAGCCCATTACAGGTCACAGCCGGGGGTTCAGACAGGTGGTGTTAGTTCGGGGAAAGAAGGAGTAAATACAAAATATTGCAACCTTTTTGTTGATTTATTCTCTGTTTAATTAGGGATGAAGGGGACAGGAGTTGATGCTGTGAGCTTGTTGCATGATCTCTTGTCATTTTTCTTTTTCTTTACTATTTTTTGTTCTATTTGTTGTATGTTTTATCTGTTATCTGTATGAACATTTTACTATAAGACTTGTTAGTTGCCGTTTGAGCTCCAGTAGCTCGTCTGTTGGATCCGACCACACAGGCCCGCCTTCACTCCCCCCTCGGACCACTTTAGATGTTCTGACCCAGTCGTCCATCACAATGTGGTTCTTATCAAAGTGGCTCAGATCCTCATGCTGCCCATTTTTCCTGCTTCTAACACATCAACTCTGTTCACTGTCTGCCTGATACCCCCCCCCACACACACACACACACTGCCAGGAGCCCTGATACCCAGATAATCAGAGTAACTGGCAGAGCTCACAGTGTTAGGGCTGATTGGAAACCGAGCACCCGCAGAGGGAGAACGTCCTGTCAGTCACTGCGTCTGTGTTGTTGTTTTTAGGGGAGCAGCCTCTGGATTCAGTGATTCTGGTGAAACTGGATCAGATTTTATGGCGAAGATATTTCCTGGTTGTCCCTCTGACGTCCTCCGGCTGCTCAGTTTCAACTCTCTGTGATTCATTGAGTTTCCTGATGGACAGATAGCTTTAGCTAAAGTATCTGCCGTTAGTGGCCTCCGAGACCGACGGGTAGTAACGTTACAGTACGGAGGTAAAAAACACAAACAATTAAAAGCCAGACTAAAACTGTAAGTCTTGGGTTCGAGACTTTAGGATCGGTGTAATATGCGCTCTCTTTCTCGTCCTCGTCAACACACGTGCAGCTGAGTTTTGAAGTGAAAGTTCTGATCTTCTTAGGGAGAGCAGAAAGTAGAGCTTCACAGTAATCAATCCTGCAGGTAATAAAAGCACTAATGTCTCTCTTGGCCTGAGAAAGAAACAGATTTTAAGATGATAAAAGGTTTTAGTTATCTTTCTAATGCAAGGTTAAAAACTAAAATCTGACTCAAAGATAACTGCAAGGTTTTTTACTTGTTCCCAGGGATTTAATGTCAGTGACAGGACTTCAGTTTTGTCTTGACCATTGCCTGACATCTAAAAACACAGTTAAAAAGGGCATCTATTGGCCCCGAGTGATCAGCAGACGCAGCTACGTACAGCTGAGTGTCATCAGCATAGCAATGGAAACTGATGACCTTTCCAAATGTCAGCATGTAAAGGTTAAATAGGGTGGGACCTAAAATTGAACCCTCTGTTATTGTTAACCATCTTCAAAATGTGTCTGTCTTTTCAACATAGATTAGCTTAGCATATAGCATATCTCAGTACAGGAAAGTAGGAAGTTGACCAAAAGGGGCGGGGCTTATAAGGTCAATACATTTTCTGTCATTTGATTAACTCATTTCATCCCATTTCAGATCAGTCGTTACTCAGTTACAGGAAGCACTGATGATTATTTTCATTGTACATTCATTTGTTGCTAATGTTTATTAAATGTAATTACATGTTATTAATGGTTTAGTTATATAAATACAGATCAACAATATGAACCTCTTGAGTCAGTGCAGTTTTCTGTGATGGACCTTTATATTTAATCTGGTTTACTGACACAAACAGGAAAAAAAGCAGAATCGAGGAAGAGGAGGAGAAGAGGAAGATAAGTAGGAGGAGGAAGAGGAGCAGTGTGAGGAGGAGCTAGAGAAAGAGGAGGAAGATGAGAAGGATTTTGAGAGATGTCTCCTCCTTCACTGTAAAGTTCATTCTCAGTGCTCTGATGGATCAGCAGTCAGTGATTTCCTGTTTTACTTTGAAAGAGTCCTTCCTGTCTCTGTTTGATCTGCTCTGATTAGTTTCATTGCTGTCTGCTCGCTTTGAGTTTTCTTTTGGTTTCGCTCCAGAGTTTCTGTCCCTCACACCTGGACCTGAACCTGTCGGTCTGCCTGTTACCTGTCTACCTGCCAGGAAGATATTTTCTTCCAGTGAACCACTGAAGTCTTCCTGCTACTTGTTTATCTGCATCACTCAAACCCCAAAGATCCAGTTTAATATCACAGAAGACAAAGACCAGTAAATATTCCAGTTTAAGAAATTTCCTCATCTTGCTTTAACAAAATGATTTAATGGATCTGTGCTCCAATAAGAGTTAAGTAAGCCTCCGTCAACGTTCTCCTTTCACCCGTCCTGTATGTCGATGGTGCCAACCATGTACATTTTGGTGATGTGAAAACTGGCATGACCATGAGGCTCTCTCTGAAAATGGGCTCTATGGAACCCACGAGTCTCCCCTTTACAAACACTTTATGCTAGTTGGATGCAGTTTTGAGCAAAAACCATGTTGTTTTTTTTACATATAGTATACATGTGGTATCTTCGACACACTCTGTTATTTATAGGACTGTAAACAACAGGTCGAGTTTTAAGTTATCAGCAAAGTTGTGCATTTTTAAACTGATCATGAAATGTGAAGCTGCTGCTGGATAAAGGCCTCAAACTGTTGTCACTGAGTTATCTGAAACATTGTGTAAACCTGTTTTTCTTAAGCATTCACATTTCTGACACACCTGTGAAACAATTGTTGCGTTTAGTTTGTTTGTGTAGATTGATAGAGATAGTTCCAGTTGCGTGACTACTAGCTGTAAAGGTGGAGTCTCAAAGACTACAGTTACTACATTAACCTCAGTTAATCAAATCAACATCACAATACCACAGTAACCTGAATAAAACACATCAATAACATAAACAATAATTAAACAGTCCTTGTTTAGCCGTTAACTCTGTTAAGTTGTCTGTCTATGCCCAGTACGTTACCAACAGTCCAATTGAGATGAAAAAGAGTTTCGGGTGAGTTATCTGGCGGGCGTGTTTCCTTTGTCTTCAGACTACTACAACAAAGGTTTTACAGCTTCCATACAGGCCTCAAGAGTTTCTGAGCACATGGCCATATTCCAACATGTTCCTTTGTGTTTCAGTTAAACACTTCAAATGAACAAACGAAGTTCATATTTAAAGGTATCCTTGGATCCCAACATCATTGTTTTCTGTTTAAATTTGTGCTTTTTATAATTTGGGTCAATTGGGGTCCTGCGCAGCCCAGTCAAAGAAACCAATTTCACTGTGCAGTTTTAATAGATGTTTGAGTTCATTTGTGCCATGGGTTTTACGTAACACATACTGTCATTTCGAAGGAGACAGACAGATTTACATATGTGCTCTTTTTAAGGTTTACACAGCTTGCAAATTAATTGCAACTTTACTTAAATAATGATAGTAATAATAATAATCATCATCATCTGTGTTCTTTAATTAGAAAATTGTTTTTAAAAAATTGTTACGGTCCAGGTGGAATGTGGGGCAAGGCTGTGCTGTGCCCGCCCATTTCGTAGAGCCATTGTGCTGCCAGTTTGTCAGTTGGTTTGTTCAGTGGAAACTTCCCAGCGGAGGTGTTGGATAGTAACAGCCATGTTGACGGAAAAAAAAATTTCTATTGGAGCGATCACAGTCTCTCTGTTTATTTTGATTGTGACTTTTTTAAGTCCGTGCAAAAATGGCTGTTATCGAAGTGGTTCCGTGGCTGCAGACACTGAGGATTGTTCAGTGGTTGGAGTGTGAGTGCCATTTTACACTTTTCTTGTGGTTATGAAAGAAATGTACACAGCAGTAGATTTGATTTTATGCACAACACACGCTGTCTATTTTTTGTAAATGTTAGCACTTTCTATCTTGGAGATCTGCTTAAACTGCATGAATAAAATGTAACTAAAATATTAAACTTACACTTACAGAACTATTCATATAACTGGGGTTGTCCCGAACAAGAATTTTTAGCCTTGGATCCAAGTTATTTAATATTGAGTATCTGCTGATACAAAGTCCTGCCAATACTTTGCACACTTTACGTACATAAAGTACATTAATGTTATGAAAATCAATCCAATGTGCAGGCTTCAGAATTAATTGCTCTGCATTGCCTTAAGAAACAAAATGCATTAAACCTGTTCCTTAATGGTTTTTAAAATATTTTCGACATAAAGTATAAAATAACAAACCCTCTGTAATCTTTTTTGTCTTGTCGCTGTTTGGAGAGAGTTTCTCTCTCCAGTGTTGCTTCAGTGCAGCTTTTACCTGAGTTACCTGAACAAACTGTATTGAGCTTTATTTCCATCATCCATACATCTTTTGCACGGATTACATTAATGGCTTTTATTAATTGGCTTTTTGTTCGTGGGACTGTTCCGATTGGATCAATACATCTCAACACAGCTGATACCGATCAGTTAAAAAATGCCTTGACTGGCACCAAGACAGATCATTAAGTTTGGATCAGGACATCCCTACTTATAACTATAGTAAGACCTCAGTAATGAGGTTACCCCTTAAATGAATAAACAAATATGCCTCATTTAACATTTCAAATGAAATTAAATGTGTGACAGTGATTGTTGTGAAATATTGCAGGAAAATCCTCAAAAAAAGGAGGCTCAGCGGTAGATGCTGCCATCGCTGCGCTGATTTGCACCTCCTTCTTTAACCCACAGAGTATGGGCATCGGAGGGGGGTCCATATTCACAGTGATGGAGAGCTCTGGTAACAGCCACATAGGTCTAACACAGTAAAACTTACCTGCTGTGGAGACAAAGCCTATTAATAATATCTCCTCTTTTCAAAGGCAAAGTCACAACTATCAACTCCAGAGAGACTGTACCCAGGAATGTGAAATCTGACCTGCTGGATTTGTGTCCAGATGAAGCCTCAAAGACATCAAGTACTGCAACAGTTCATCATCGTTATCTTTTCCTCATTCTTGAAACCTTTCTTGTTGTTCTTGTTCTGTTTGTTGTGTTAGCTATTAGGTTGCTGTGTTACTTGGCTCCCACTGGAGGAGGAAGTGGGGGCAAACCTAAAAACCTTGATTTAGTACAGTTCACATGTGGAGAACTTTATTTACCACATAAGGACGCAAAGTTAAAAGATTTATGTCATCCTGAAGATACTGTTAGTCCTTTGTTGGATATTTGTCCCACTTGTTGTATACACACCAGGGGCCAACAGTCCTGACATAGGAACTGGCCTAAACTGAAGTAAGATGTAAAAGTAAGAGGTATAGATCTTGTACACATATTGAGGAAAGTAAGATCTGAGATAATGAGAACATTAAGAGACAGGAAACCCTTTCTTTAGTGTACAGTACCAGTCTAATAAAAAAGAGAATAAAGCTTAAGACAGTACTGTTATAGATAAAGATAAATAGATAAAGATATTGGTATTGAAGAGAGTCCACAAATACATTAGCAGCACACTTGCTGGAAACGAGCACACTGCATGCTAGCAGGCCAGAGTGAGGGCTGGTGGATAACAGTTGACTGTAAAGTCCACTCTCAGTGTCTGCACTGGTGGATCACAGTGTTTAAGTTGCATACTGGACCAGGATGGACTTCCAAACTGTCACAAATTAATGTGGTAGGCCCCGCCCTCTTAAAATCAGATGTTCAATAAGCTCAGAGAAACTTTCCACCTTCAGCAGATGAATGTGAAAACATCCTTCTGGAGTCAAACTCTGCACATCACACTGAACAAACACTGAGTTCTGATTGTAGGGACTTGTACAGACATTTAGTAAATGTATATACTTACTTTGACCTACCTTGCTATCCATCCATGCAGCTGGTAAATGGATTGGGGTCCCAGGTGAACTTCGGGGCTATGTAGAGGCACACAGGCGTTTTGGGAAGTTGTCATGGGCTGAACTCTTCAAGGGGACCCTCGAATTGGTCAAAGATGGAATTCGTATCAATGAAGTCCACGGTGGATTTATCAATCGTACTAATGAAAGTTTCGGCCCAGCACTACGGTATGAAAGACACCCACTTTTTTCACAGCAGCCATTTTGACATAATAGGGTAAAAGCTGGTATTACCAATTATACTAAATACTATGCTATTCAGGAATGGAACGGAGCCTTAAGTCTTTACCCTACTATTTTTGTTTTAAAATGGCTGCTGTGAAAAAGATCTGACACAATGATGAGGATAAGCAACATTTCACTTTTCTACATTAAAGTGATATTTTCTTTCTGTGTGTCCTGTAGAAAGTTGTATTCAGACAAGAACGGGATGTTGCTGAAGACTAATGACATTGTGAAGTTTGAGAAACTGATCGAGACTTTGAAGATTATTGCAGATAAAGGAGCAGACGCTTTTTACAATGGAGCAATAGCAAACAATTTAGTCAGGGACATAAATGAGGCAGGTAAGGTCTTTTCTAAACATTCTACTCTTCAACTCTATCTCTGCCTGCCACAATTATCTGATTACAAATTAACAAATCAATTGGATCTGTAAAGCCGTGATCACTCACAGACTCCAGTGCGGCAGAAACTGTAAAAAAGTCTTGATTATGACGAGCAGAGATGCGTCTTGTTCAGCTTTGCTAAGCAGAACCATTTGTTTCAATGTTTTTGCTCAGGAGGAAATATAACGGAGGAAGACTTGAAAGAGTACAAAGTTTCCGTGACTGATGCGTGGGTTGTTCCTTTGGGAGAGTACCAGATGTACATACCTCCACCCCCTGCAGGAGGCATCACTCTCAGCTTTGTCCTTAACGTCCTGAAAGGTTCCTGGTGCACACAGACTGCAGAGCAGCTGCTCATCCACTTTCAAATCATCACTTTCAAATCACATAATGAATCTTGTTGGCTGTGTTCATGTTAAACAGAGCCATGCCAAATGAATATTTTAATTAGTTGTTTATTAGTTGTTTACTGTAACTGAATTATTGCGTGGTGATGGAAACATCTAGATATTGCTCATCGTTGAACTGAGTTGTTTTTATTTACAGGCTTTCACTTCGATTCAAACTCTCTGGAAGGTGAAAATAAGACACTGACCTATCATCGCTATATTGAATCTTTAAAGTATGCCAATGGATTAAAGAAAGACATCCGTGATCCAAAGTTCATGTCAACAGAAGTAAGTTTCACAAAATTATGCAGTAAAACATATTTTCCTCTTCATCATTTATTTTTAAGTAGTTAAAGGTGTCCTCCCAGTATTAGGACATCAATTAATTACGGTTGGGTGCACACATTGAGATTAGTTAATTAGTGCAGTTTGACACCCAAACACTGATAAACACAGATCATAGACATTTTCACTTTTTAAAGCATTTTCAAACTCAACTCAAACCTATTATGTTCCACATATTGAACACATTATAACATTAATTTAACTTTTCAGTCCTATTCATAGTAATTACACTCTTTCTCACCTATCCAACTGGAATACTCCTTTAGCTGATACATATTTAATTCAGTATGTCAACTTCACTCCCAGATAGTACAATTTATTTTCAAGATAACACTATAATTTGCATCCATCCATTACTCCAGTACACCCACTTTCATATTCAGTTCTGAATTCACTGTTTTCTCCTAAAATATGACAATAAATGTACCACTGAATTTTTGATTGCTATGTGTTTTTACATTTTGCAGCGCTTACAGAGGGCCAAGACATTCATAACGGATAGCTTTGCCGACGATATCCGAAGCTTTATCGGTGATGAGAGCCAGTATTACCACAAGCCCCCGTATATGGACAGCGTGGGCACCTCACATGTGTCTGTTGTGACAAAGGATGGATCTGCTGTGTCTGTCACCAGCACCATCAACTACGTGTCAGTGTTTGATGCTTTCTGCTTCAACCATCAAACATTATTGTCAGTTTGAAAGTAGAGGATTAAGATTATAGAACAAGTGAATATATAAAAGAAACTGAGAATAGTCCAGTAATCACAGCTAGTGTACAGTATTTATAATGTTTATGTAATGTATGATATAAGTTTTGATGCATTTCTTCACAGGTTTGGATCACGGATCTTATCTCCAAGCACCGGAGTCATCCTCAACAACCAGCTGGCCGATTTCTGTCAGAGAGTTAATAAATTCTCTCGTGGTAATCAGATCAGCATTCTCTTTGTTCAATTAACCAGAAACTACCAGAAAATAGTGACAGCTGATGCCAGCCTGTCAGGCTGGGTCAGTGTGTTTGAGGGCAGAGTGGTAAATGGGTGATGCAGCTCCACCACGCCCAAATATAAACTATTTGGAGCTTTTAGCTTAGTTTAGGATAAGCTTGTTTGGCAATACTGGAATCTCCATATTCCACATCAAAATGAATGCTATCGAAGAGAACTTCCGTAATTTCTTGTTGCATGAGGGAGATGTCTCACCAGACTGCCCTTCTTGCCGATGGGGTGTGTTGCTTTAATCCAAACCCCACGCTTCCTTTTTGATGACTGGTGACTATTTCTGTCTTAGGTTAAATATGTTTCAGCAATAAAGCTGAAAAAATGAAAGATTTCCAGTCGAATTATGACCAAATACTTACAGAAAACCAAAGAGATTCCCATCAGCCTCAGCTTTGTGTTTAGTGCTAATGAGAAAATGTTAGCATGCTAATACGCCAAAGTAGGATAATGGATGGTAAACATTTTACTTACTCAACATGATGTTTAGCATTTAGCTAAAAGCATTTCTGCCCCAAAGTACAATCACGTCAGGCTGCAGAATACAATCAACTTTATTGTCATATACGGTCATAGACAGTACAACGTAACCTCTACTTTTAACCCATACTAAGTACAATCAGCAGTGGGCAGCCACTGTACAGCTCCCAGGAATGAACTCCAGATGTAAGCCATTGCCTTGCTCAAGGATACTGACTTGAGATATCAACCTAACATAGCTATTTTGATGGTGGGGGAAACCGAGCACATGCAGAGGGAGAACATGCAAACTGATGATGAGTCCGTCCTGTCAGTCACTGAGTTTGTGTTGTTGTTCTCAGGGGAGCAGCCTCCCTCCTCCATGGCCCCCATTGTGCTGAAGTCTAAGTCGAAGTTACTGGTGATTGGGGGTTCTGGTGGGGACAGGATCACGACTGGGGGTCGCCTCGGTACGTATCTTGGGCAACCACACTAAGATAAACTGCTGCAGACTAATCGTCGTAAAAAGTGCCGTCCTCACTCTCAATGTGTCCACAATGCATTCACTTTCCCATCAGGCAGATTGCAACGTATTGTTCTGTTTCTCTTCCAGGCGCTCATGAACCACCTCTGGTTTGGAAAAAGCCTTAAGGAGGCGATTGACGCTCCGGTTGTTTTTGTCAACTCTAGTAATACTGTGGAGTTTGAAAATGGTTTTGATAAGGTAACGCACTAATACTGAGAATTTGCTAAAACAACACATCATCAGCACCATCTGAGCCTCTGGTCCTCGTTGTCTTTCAGGATGTAATCAAGGCTCTGAAAGCTCTGGGACACAAACAAAAAGCTCAAGGAACTTACTACAGTGTGGTAAACGCAGTAGAGCTGGAGAACGGTTGTATCATCGCCGAGTCTGATAAACGGAAAAAAGGCAAAGCAGCCGGTTTCTGAGACCACGAGACAGTGACACTGGTTTATGCAGGAGGGCCTGGAGGTTACAGAGACCTTCCTGGCTAGTAAGCTAATTAACTAGGGCTTTGCTAACATTAGCTAACTTAAAGGCCCAATGAAGTTAAAATGTTTAAGTGTTTTATCTTATCTTTCTTTGTGCTGTAAGTCTCTTATATTCCAGTATCTGTATCCAATATTGACACAAAGTAATTTTTTAGGTGTTTTCGTGTATTCTTAATGGTAATTTAGTCACTTCCTGAAAAACAATAAACAGTAGTTGATGACTGCACTCTGATTTTGTGTCCAATGAAACACTGTTGAGAGTTTCTGAGGGCCGATGTGTTACAGACCTCTCTGTCCTCACTGATTACTGTACTGAAGCTCAGCTTTCTAACTGGATTCAGTGATTCTGGTGAAACTGGAATTCTATGGTGAAAATATTTCCTGGTTGTCCCTCTGACGTCCTCCGGCTGCTCAGTTTCAACTCTCTGTCATTCACTTTCTAGAGCTTTACCTAAAGTAGCTGCCGTTAGTGGCCTCCGAGACCAACAGGTAGTAACGTTACAGTACGGAGGTAAAAAACACAAACAATTAAAAGCCAGACTAAAACTGTAAGTCTTGGGTTCGAGACTTTAGGATCGGTGTAATATGCGCTCTCTTTCTCGTCCTCTTCAACACACGTGCAGCTGAGTTTTGAAGTGAAAGGTTTGTTCTTCTTAGGGAGGGCAGAAAGTAGAGCTTCACAGTAATCAATCCTGCAGGTAATAAAAGCACTAATGTCTCTCTTGGCCTGAGAAAGATGATAAAAGGTTTTAGTTATCTTTCTAATGTGAGGTTAAAAACTAAAATCTGACTCAAAGATAACTGCAAGGTTTTTTACTTGTTCCCAGGGATTTAATGTCAGTGACAGGACTTCAGTTTTGTCTTGACCATTGCCTGACATCTAAAAACACAGTTAAAAATGGCATCTATTGGCCCCGAGTGATCAGCAGACGCAGCTATGTACAGCTGAGTGTCATCAGCATAGCAATGGAAACTGATGACCTTTCCAAATGTCAGCATGTAAAGGTTAAATAGGGTGGGACCTAAAATTGAACCCTGGGGAACAACACAATTCATTTTATAGCTTTTATTTAACGTTCATCAATGCTGACAAAAACCTCTCTGTCGTTCATATTCAAACCAATTAAAATCAGTATCAGAGAGGCCAACCAGACTGGGAAGTCTAGTTAAAACAATGGAGTGATCTATTGTATCATAGCTCAGTTAGGTCACGTAGTCCTAATACAGAGAGTTTGTCATATTGCACCGAAGGTCATTTAAAGCTTTTCTAATGCCGCCTCAGTGCTGTGAGGTCAGAACTGTCAATAAAATGAGATATGAATATAAATCTCTTTTTCTTTAACCATCTTCAAAATGTGTCTGTCTTTTCAACATAGATTAGCTTAGCATATAGCATATCTAAGTACAGGAAAGGAGAAACACAATATATAATCAAATCTTAAGTTAGCTAATATTATCAAAACGTTAGCTAGTGTTTTGCTAACACTGGCTAACAACAATTGATTTCGATTAGCTAATTGACTGACTCATTTCATCCCATTTCAGATCAGTCGTTACTCAGTTACAGGAAGCACTGATGATTATTTTCATTGTACATTCATTTGTTGCTAATGTTTATTAAATGTAATTACGTGTTATTAATGGTTTAGTTATATAAATACAGATCAACAATATGAACCTCTTGAGTCAGTGCAGTTTTCTGTGATGGACCTTTATATTTAATCTGGTTTACTGACACAAACATGGAGGTCAAAACCTCAGCGGGCGTCTGCGAGGGGCCGGAGGAGACTGATGGGCGGATTATAGAAGATAAAGTGAGAAATGTATGAGAGGAGACAGTTGGAGAGAATTACAGTCAACCTTGAAGGATTTCATTAGCCTCCGCTGACTGAATTATCTGATCGATTGATTGAATTAAACAGGAGTCACCTCTTCTGTCTGATCTGCATCTGCTTGGCTGCAGTCCTGATGTCCCCTGTGGTCCAAGTCCGGTCCTAAAGAGACGCCATCGGACCGGTTCAGAGCCTTTACTGAACAAACTGTGCTAAAACCACACTGTAAAAATACATTTCCATCAAGAGTAAACCACAACATGAAAAACATAAAATCCTCCAAAACAACATGTTTTCACAACTCAGCCATATTTTAATATTATACTGTAAAAAAAACTGTTGAGAATTTTACTAATAAACTAACAATAATAATTTACTTTTCTTCATTAGACAAAAATTAATCTTTAAGTTTTAGAAACAAAACATGTTTAATATTTTAAATTGCAACTATATAATTTGAGAGTTGAACATTTTCTAATTTAAAGGCAACTGTCTTTACAAAATGTTTTACGTTTTAAACTGAACTAACTTTACAGTTTACATGAAATAAATGTAACAAATCTAAAGTTTTCTGACAAGATGCAATTTGTTTGGAAACCATCAATAGAAAATATGTGATTTAAAATGTTTTATTTTTTATTTTTAGATTCTTAATCTGGACATATGAATTGAAATGTGAAACTGACTGCAGCTGATTTCAGTGTTCAGTGAGTGTGTATGAGTGTGTATGAGTGTGTATGTGTGTGTATGTGTGTGTATGTGTGTATGAGTGACTACGTAGCAGGCTGATATTGAAACTAAATTACAGGAAATGCTAAACTTATTTTAAATTACATTTAAACAACCTCATAGTTTAAGTGTTTTAATTCAAAATTGTGTAGTATTATACGTTAGAAATTAATTAATTTTTCAGAAAATTCCTCCAAGTACCACTGGAGGCAGCTTGTGGACCACCAGTGGTCCAGATACCATAGTTTGAGAATCAGTGATCCAAAATACTGCAGCAGCAATAACAGTGCACGTGATTGCGGCTTAAATGGGATAGAAAATGCATGGAGGCTGGTGTGGTCCCTTAAACAACAATTCACTGCTCACATCTAATGAACGCACGCACGCACACACACACACACACACACACACACACACACACACACACACACACACATCACTAGGGTATTCAAGTGTATTTGTCTGTGAGCTCCATCTAGTGGAGAGGTTAAAAGTTTAATATACAATAAAGTTTTGAACCAGTGAGAGTTAGTAGAGCTGGTTGGTTGTTCACTGTAGGACTTGGTGGTTTCTGGTCTGTTGTGTCCTCCGGTGAGATACTGAACCCTAGATTGCTCCTGAAAATGGAGACACAACGTCACAGAGACGGTAAAAAGAGGTAAAACCTCCTGCATCACTTGTAGTATAAACAACACTTTTATTGAAGACTGATATAAACACTCCAGCTGCTACTTCATCTTCATCTTTTTACACCTAGAAGTCCAACAAAAGAGGTCAAATTTCTCTATATGTTGTTTTGAGTTCTTAAATATTTCTGAATCTCTTATTATAAAGAGTTAATTTCTTAACAGAGAAGTTTTTTCTCGAGCTTATAGTTGCTTATACACATCAAAATCTCAAATACTATACATATTAAAGTCATCAAACCAGGTACACAGGTACCCCATAGAGATGTGTTAAACTTATCAAGAATAAGTTTCTTAATATGTTTCCCATGTAGGAATGATCTGATCACATGTTGCAGCATTTGGAGCATGTGGAAATCATGAAATCACGTTTGATTTGTCTGTAATTGGTTACCAAATTTACCAAATAAAGCCATATTGCACAAGGGTGTAGCATTTCATACAAATCTACTGACAATAGGTCCATAATAATATATATGTAATATAAATATTATATAATATATATAAAGTTACAGAGGACAGGACAGATACAGGACAAAGGTCAGTGTTTTAGATAAAAGTCAGAGGTCTGTAATGTCGATTCGATTAATATAATCGTAACAATAATGATATTATTATCAACTTTATTTCATAAGTGAACTGTTGAGTACAGTTCAATCTACTCTATTTGGAAAGTGTTTAGCTTTTGTTATGAATTGGTGCTATACAAATAAAATTGAATTGAACTAGATTGAATAAGTTTTAGTGAAGTCCAACAATATGACATTAATTGTCTTTCAAGTCACTTTGATGGTAATATTAATAATAATACCTAAGTTACTGACGACAGGACTGATACAGGACGGAGGTTAATGCTGTAGATACAGGGCATAGGTCAGTGCTGTCTATTTGATTCATATAAAACTAACAATAATGATTAATATGAACTTTCTTTTGTACGTTTTGTCCAATAATTTGACAATAATTGTGTGATAGCTGCGAGCATCGTTATCTTCAGTCTTTATTTTGTTTAATATTCTACATGTTGTTTTGGACCGTTATCTCTTTTGGAACAGTATTGGAAGTATTCAGTTACGACTGATTATAGGAGGTATCTTCAGGTGTAAATCATGAACATCTTGCTGAGACTCTTTCAGAAGTTGTGCCTGTGAGCAGCAGTAACAGAGGCAGCAATCACACACATTTTCTTCAGGAAATGTTAATTCTAATGTTTCCTACTGTCAACCAACCCTAGCTGACTTTGTCTCTCTTACTCTGCGCTGCTTGCCACAGAATTGTAAATCACAGCGCACTCTGCTGGATAAACGTTGTAGTGAAAACAATATATTATCACAAGCTTTTTTTCTTCATCATATACCAGAAAAAAAACTGCTTTTATATCGGATGATACATAAACAGATACCGATACCAGACGAATATGAGTGCAATAAGCAGGGATGGGAGAATTTAGTCAGTAACCTAATCAAAGGCTACGTTCACAGTGTGCTGGGACGGAGGGAGCAGAATTTGTCCTCTCAGCCACCTGATACAGAAACCAGAGTTTGTAGCAGATTCCACATTTTTGAAAGTGTTTCTATATGGATGTAAACACTTACTGAATGAAAAGTGTATTAAGTATAAAAGCTCCTGTGAGGGTTTGATAAAGTACCATGGAGACAAAGAGGTGGACAGCAGCAGCACTTTAATGGCTTCTTTATGTAGAAACAGCACTTAGGAAGGCAGCGAAGGGCAGTCAGACTGTCCTGGTTCTATTTTATTGCCACTGCACACAATGTTTAATATGTAAACATCAGTATTAACTGTTCACTTCTATTTCTAGAGGATATAGTGCAAAGCAGGAACAGGAATATTTGGCTGTCTGGTTCTTTTTTTCTTTCCATCGGGACATTACATGCTGGTTACCTGTCCAAAAGTAAACCTCTGAGGAGCTGAAAGTGCACGTTAAAGAGCTCATAAACACCGTCTCACTGACCTCTAATACCTTCAACCACTGGAGGTCAGTGAAACACAGATTTAGAGCTTATGAAACATTATAATGTCTGTCGTCACAGAGTCGTTTGGTGGAAGAAGGTATTTTTGTTCTCTTACAGATGAAGTTGGATGATTCACAGTTGGAGAACAAAAGATCATCAGCAGCGGTGTTAGAAAATATCAGAAGAAGCCTGTGAACCTAAAAACTACAACTCCCAAGATGCATTTCACTAACAAACATCCCATCACAGAGCTTCAGATTCTGTTGTTCTCAGCTAACGACGTTCACGCTGTGTAGGAACCTGATGAAACGGTCTGATTCTGGATCAGTTGGAGATGAAATTAGTAACCATGGTGACGGGTATTCTGGCTTCTTCTCCATAGCAACCGCTGCTAAGACTCATGGATACTGTAGTAGTAGTTATAGGGTCTGTTTCCAAGTTGAAACGACTCAAAATATAAACCAAAAGTATCATTAAAGTTCCTAAGCCCCGCCCCTTTTCACTCTGTGCTCCAATAACATTTGAGCAAGCCTCGGTCAACTTCCTCCTTTCCTGTACTTAGATATGCTACATGCTAAGCTAATCTATGTTGGAAAGACAACCACATTTTGAAGATGGTTAAAAGATAAAATGCATATATATATATATATATATATATATATATTCACATCTTAAGTCTGTTAATGTTAGTAAAATACTAACAAACTAGATTTGTATATATATATATATATGCATTTTATCTTTTAACCATCTTCAAAATGTGGTTGTCTTTCCAACATAGATTAGCTTAGCATGTAGCATATCTAAGTACAGGAAAGGAGGAAGTTGAGGCTTGCTCAAATGTTATTGGAGCACAGAGCGAAAAGGGGCGGGGCTTAGGAACTTTGTATGAGGAGCGTCTGTATTGTCTTTTGTTATCCTCCACAGAAAGAATAAAATAACGATATTTTAAGTTTTAATTATTTCAACTTTTTTTTTGTCCGTTTTGTGGGCGGCTATAAATACTACAATACCCATGAGCCTCAGCTGCTGTTGCTATGGAGAAGGACACAATCAGAAGTATGAATCAGGATGTTAATGATTTTGTTGCAGTTGTGAACAAACCTCGTCGCCATGGTTACTGATTTCATCCAAAGCTGACCCACAATCGGTCATAAAATCAGCTTTCAATTGGATGTTTGTTAGTGAAATGCATCCTGGGAGTTGTAGTTCGGTTTCTTTCGTTCAGTTCTTGTGTCCACAGGCTTTTGACTCTTTATCACAGAATCAGATATTTTCTCACACAGTTGTTAATCTTTAGTTCAACAGGAGAGTTTCAATGTAGATTTTTACTTTGTGAATTGAATTAAATTCTGTGGTCATAAAACCTGGTTCCAGTTTTTACTTCAAAGTTACAAAAACGTTGATTATAAAGATGCACTGTCTGCTTTTGTTACAGAGCCATACAGCGGAGTTTTAAACCATCTACAGACGTCTGAGTGCATCTTTAAATTGTACAAAAGGCACATTATCTCGCTTTAATATCGGCCGACAGAAACACTAAAGTGACTGTTTGTCAGTAACATGAGCTTCTTTTGACGTTTACTTTTGGACACTTCCTCCTCCTCCTCTTCCTCCTCACTGGCCCTGGCCCTGGCCCTGGCCCGGCAGCGCCCCCAGCAGGCCGTTGGCTGTGGTGAAGAGGTTGATGGGTGACGTTCCGTCTGTGATGAGGGTGGACTTCAGCCCCAGAGCCTGGAGCATTTTCACCTGGAGGACAGACGGACAGTTAAAGTCTGAAAATGTGACAAAACTCTTTAAAAGGTTAAATATGAGATTTAAAACAGTTTTATTCTGTTTCTGTTCACTTTGAATGAAGTTACAACGTTAGGAGTCTGGTGGAGAGTGATATTACGGCTCTACTGTAACATCCAGTTCGTATATAGAAAGTTTAAATAAAGTTATTTCAGTGTTGTCGGTACAGTACCTGCAGCTCGGGTCCGGCTCTGGCGATCTCCTTCAGCGTGTCGCTGCCCAGACTCTGCACCAGCTGACTGAAGCGCTCGCTCTCGATATGAGCCAGATGTTTCTGCTTCTCCACCTCCAGATTGTCCATCTGCTTCTTATAGTTCAGCTCCTGCTCGCGAGCCTTTGCCAGGCGTTGGAGCTCCGCCTCCTGCACGCACGCACAAAGTCTGGGTTTAACAAATCACCTGAAAGTGTCTTTCGTTTCGCTTTGCTACGTGTAGTGAGTTTAATGTTGGCGACGTACCGCCTCGATCCTCTGAGCTTCAGCCTTCAGTTTGGCCTCGTTGACCGCCGCCTCTCCCTGAATACGAGCAGCCTCCGCCCGAGACTGAGCCTCAGCCTTGGCGGCTCCGGTGCTCTCCACCGCAGCGCTGAAACACACAGAGGCTGTTAGCGGGAGGACTGAGGACGTTCTTCCATATATAATAAAACGTGAGGCTGTCTGGTGCTTTTACCTGAGCGCCTCCAGCTCCAGCAGCTCCTTCCTGGCTCTCTCAGCCTGGGCCTGGTCGGTGATCCTCTGCCTCTCCAGCTTTCCCCGGGCCTCCTGCTCCAGACGCTCCGCCTCGTGGCTGCACACAGAAAACCTCATTCAGTCAGTCTTTCACAAGTAAAAGGAACAATTGAAGGATTTTTGGGGGAAATTCGCTTCCAAAAAACTCCACAACTGATCTACATCTCGTTAGCTAACAAGCTAGTCACCGATAAAAACTGTTGTTTAGAGTTGTTGCTCAGGAGCTAGAAGCTAACGCTAAGATTACAGTACTAATAACTGAGTTAGCTCCTAATTCTTGTTAGTTGAGGATTAATCTCTTTGTCCAGCCTACGCTTTTAGTTTTGTAGTTCCTGCTCACTTTACGAGGATAGCAGTAATAGCGGTATTTTACAGTAATGTGTTTGTGGGGCAGAATATATGGAAGCAATATTACAGTCAGTGCTTTACAGGAGGAAACGACCTGCGCGTCATAAATAAAAAGTCATTTCAGTTTGTTGAATATTTCATCGATCATATTTGTGATGATCTCTGTGGTGTGTGTGTATTTTATCGGACCGTGCGGTGGCCTCCTGGGAGTTGGTGGTAATCTCGATGGCGAGCTGGACGCTCTTCTGCAGGGCGTCTCGTGTGCGCTGGTCGACGGGCTCCACGGACTGGATGTCCACGCTGCTGATCACCAGGTTGTTCTGGCTGAAGCGAAGGCTGGGACGAACCGCCAGCTTCTCATCGAAGCCGAACACGGCCGAGCAGATGATCCGGTTCGAGTTCTACAAACGAAACCCATTTTAGATTGATGAATTATTGTAATATTTAATGTATTAGATTATTAAATACTTCCTCCACCACTAGTTAACACAAACGCTCCTTTTACAATATAAAACTGAAAGATTCGAACCTTGTGGAAATCGTCGAACTGCACGGAGGCGACGGCTCCTCTGACCCGCGAGGCGATGGCTTTACAGGCGTCTCCGACAAAGTCCGGGACTGAGAACAGAGCTGCTGCCTCGGCGCGGTCGGCTGGAGACTTCATATCAAAGTGCCTGAAGAGAAATAAACAGGAGAGGAAGAGGGATCAACTGTAATGTGGTATACTGACCGGTGCTTCTCTTTAACCTTCAACAACTAGTTTAACATTAGTTTTAGACTCAAACTTGTACAAAAAAATGAAATGAATCAGACTTAGAGGACTGAACTCTCTATGTTTAGAGGTCTCTCCACACCTGAACCTGCAGCTGTTTTATGAGTAACATCACTGAGTTCTTTAACGAGCCTTTATTGAACAGAACCTGACCACAGCCGTTCTCAGTTACCAGTTGTAGGAGAGCTGCAGCTGCAGGCGGGCATGGTCCGCCGTCTCGATGGTGATGATGTCGGTGAAGAAGTCCGGTCCCAGCAGGAGGCAGACGGCCTTGATCACGTTGGCCCTCTTCGGTTTGTCTCCGGACAGCGACAGCACGGTGAACTGCTCGTCGGGTCCCAGCATCACCATCTCTGGTCCGAACACCACCCTGAACACAGAACCACACCGTCAGACAGTTCCTTCCCCCTGCGCAGACCTCCATCGGGACAGGAAGACCCACCTGGCCTTCTTCTCCCTGTAGTCGTAGACCTGGACGGCAGCGTTGTGAGGCACCCTGTAGGAGACCACCTTGGTCTTGTCCCTCGGCCCGGCCCCCTCGGTCGCGGTGCGGTCCGAGCGGTCGGCCAGCGGGTCCAGACGAGAAGCCAGCAGGGCCTCGACGTTACGTGGAAGCTCCTTCTGCCACAGCTCCTCGTCCTGAGTCAGCATGTAGGTGTGACCGATCACCGCTCGCACCTGAGAGGCAGAGAGACGCAGAGAGGTTGATCGTATGCTAAAGGCCACACCCACTTTCACCAATCAATACAGCGCCCAGCTTCTGGTTTCCTTTAGCACAGAGTTAGCTTAGCTTCACCAATCAATCAGATGTTAGTTTAATATTTCTAAGCCTCGTACCTTTCCAGTTTTGATGTCTCTGACGTAGATTCCCTCGTTCTCGTCCAGCGGGATGGCCTGACGTCTCAGCATCACCTCTACGGTGGCGGGGGGGACGTACTCGATGGGGCCGCGCAGCATCCAGCGGTCTCCGGGGCGACGGAGGACGCCGCTCCTCCGCGAGCGCTTTGCCCTCTCCTGCATCAGCTCCTCCTCTTCCGCCTCTTCCTCTTCCTCCTCACGCTGACAGAGAGAACGGGGGAGAGAGAGGTGGAGGAGGGAGAGAAGGGTTAACGTGGCGATGCATTGGAGGGGAGGAGGAGGAGAGGGAGGAGGAGAGGGAGGAGGAAGAGGGGGAGGAGGAGGAGGAGAGGGGACTGGAGAGGAGCACTGAGAGTAAAATGAATGTTTAAAACAGAAAAGTGGAAGAAATTTCAAGAAGAGGAGGAAAACGTAAAAGGATGGAGCGAGTGATAAAAGGAGGAAGAGAAGAAGAAGAGAGTCGGGGTATAATGGGTTAGCCAGGTTAGGAAGGGAAGATGGAGCAGTGGAGGACACAATCACCTCCTGAGGTGGTTTTAAACTGCATCTTAAACCTGCAGTCCCTCTAACAGCCAGCAGGGGGCGGCTGCAAAAGCGTTTAAGTAACAAAATATTCGGAGACTTTTATTGTGAAAAATGTATCATCGTAGCAGCGATCTCTTTTCATTCCATCCTGAGCTCTCTCGACCATCGTGGCGCTCTGTCTGTAAGGTTGAACCAACCTAACACAGGTGGAAAACGGCCACTAGTGTGTGTGAGCACGAGAACAGGAAGCTTATAAATAAACCAACAGCTCCACAGCGCTACTAGTGGTCAGAATCTCTGCTGGGAGCCTTTAATGTTTCTGCAGGGAGGTGAAACGATCAGAAGTATCAATATTTAAAGCTGATCGACTTCAGGAGCTTTAATATGTGTAGAAAGGACTCAATAAACCCGCCCACTCTGTATGATCGGGGTTATCAGTGAGGCGAGGCGAGGTGTGGTCCGAGCTGCAGAAGACTTTAAACCTTCAACCTCGAGACACACCTCCGTTTCCACAGCGAGCTGAAACGATCTGCAGTAAGAATTCGTCCAGACACACCTCAGTTTGAAGAACAAGTTTGCTTTAATAATCTGTTTTCTGTGACCGACCGGTTGCACAAGCTCAAACACACAATGTCTGTTATTTTACTCCCTTCATTCCTCTGAGCTCCGACGCCCACACTGAGAAACATTTCAGGTTAAACACCAACTGCAGAAAATATGTCCTATCAGGGCTTTGTACTATAGATATATTTATATAGATATATAATACACAGCGATCAGCACTAACACAGTGAGCACTGCTAGTAACACTGATTATCTGATTGGATCTCCTGTCGGGGGGGGTATATCAGGCAGACAGTTGATGTGTTAGAAGCAGGAAAAATGGGCAGCGTGAGGATCTGAGCCACTTTGACAAGAACCACAATGTGATGGACGACTGGGTCAGAACATCTCCAAACCCGGAGCTCTAGTGGGGGTTCCCGGTCTGCAGAGGTCAGTATCTATTAAAAGTGGTCCAAGGAAGGAACAGAACCCGAGACAGGGTCATGGTGGGCTGAGGCTCATTGATGCAGGTGGGGAGTGAAGGCTGGCCTGTGTGGTCCGAGTTAATGCTGGTTCTCATAGAAATGGGTCAGAACTCACAGTGCAGAGCGGACTGTTGGTCTGGGACCAGTCAGGGAGTCCAGTGCTCACAGTGTTACTGCTGATCGGTGTAAATATATACATGTGATAGTAAACAGAGCAAGAGAGTATTTTATCATCTACGTCGGTGAATTAGTTTTATAGTGTTTTAGGTTAAATCACTGGTTTTGTAAATGGACTCTGGTGGGTTGTAGCGCTCATTGTTTTGGTCTGAGATGTTGGTGCTGTAGTGCGACATCCAGCCGCAGTGAGTTTTGTATATAAAACCTTTGAAAGCAGGACTTGTAACTCTATCTCTACACTGTAGTGATACTACTTTTCCCGCCACATTCCAGCAGCAGACCGTTCTGCCTCCTCACCTCCTCGGTGTCGTTGAAGGCCTCCACAGCTCTCAGCACCAGACCCTCCTCCTCCGACAGCACGTACACGTCCTGGATGCCCTGTTCAAGGTGCTCACCCGGCTGCAGGAAAAATGAGCGCTCGCCCTGACGGAGACAAAGAGTCCAAAAGAAAAGGGAAGTTAGTTCAGTTAAAGGAGATTTCAGTGAAAGAAGCTGGAGGACGGACAGTTCTCCTCACCTTCACCACCCTCTTCTGCCCCAGCTGAGGTTTCCCGTCGGATCCGACCGGGTCCAGGATCACACAGTACTGCCTGCTGCTCAGAGTGGTCACATCCACCACCCCGACCACCTCCTCCGACACAGAGGGGATGTGGGCCTCCCTGTCGGCCATGGTGACGAGCCACTCCTCGCCCGTACGCCGGTCCCGCCCGCCGGCGTCCTTAAAGGCCCGCACGGCGCGGACATGAAGCGCTTTCTGAGGACGACAAGGGAAACGTTTAGAGCCGATGTGCCTGATGTAAGACGGCCTCATTGAATGTATCATCACCAAATGAGTCCTAATGATGATAAAACTGTTCCTGTGATAGAAAACTAGAGGTTCAAATGAAATTACACCAATTACAGTGTCCTCGAGGATTCTGGTTGTAATCATTCAGGTGTTGGTGTAATGATGAATGATGTAATGCAATAGTTCCCAATCTTTATTCTTAAGGGACTCAACAGTCAACCTTTGACTTAAGTAACATATTTTATGGATATTTCATATATTCAGTAGGATTTAGATAAATTTTGAGCAGATTAATTCCTGTAAATATTGATCAGAGATTAGTTTTAATAATATTTCTAAAAATATATACACATATATGTACACACAGGACGAGGCTGTTTACAGAGAGAAGTTCTGTCAGTGTTCTGTGTGCCTATATCTAGGGGTGGGCGATATGGGCAAAAATAATATCTCATATTTTTGGGATTTTGGCGATAACGATAATCGTGTATCCTTTAAAATGTGATTAGATTGTCTGAGCTGGACTTGTGTCCACCAAACGCATTTCAGCGTTGGAGCGCTCAAAACTCTTTTCCGAGCGCCCACCGGTGTTAAAAGTTGAACAGATTTCAACTTGAAGCGCTCTGAGCGCTGCGCTAAAAAACCGTCCCTGCTCTTTTACCGCTGAGGCGCTTAGCGCTCTGACGCTGAAGCCCATAGGACCCCGTCTCGGCACTAAATCATCTGAAGACCGGTGCTCGGGACTGGGGTGTTGTTTTTCTCTACCATCAGCGCTGCTAAACTGTTGCAAGGAGGTGCTGCGGGTCCGTGATCGCTGTGATCACGTGGCATGTGGTGTGACTGAATCCTGCCATGCTGTGGGCGCTGCTGCACTGTGTATTAATGGATGTGGGGTTTCCGGGCGTTTCATTGTTTTTGTCGAGTAATTTAAATACTCGATAATGGAAATTTGCCATCGTCAAACAACAATGACGTATTATGCAAACGATATACGCCCACCTCTACCTATATCTCAGCATTTTGTTCATTTCTGTGAATAAAACTAAATAAAATAGTTTAACTTACACTAATTGGAATCAAGAAGGCCTCCTTACCTCCTGTCAACCTTTAGCGACCCCTAGTGGGGGTCCCGACCCTCAGGTTTTCTACATATGTGACCTCTGCGTAGTTCCTATAAAGCCTAACGTTAGCTTTTTACTGCTAATGATCACATTTATGCTTCACAACTCGTAAAGTTAATTACGTTAATGTTAAGACTTAATTTGTGAAGATTATCACGAGTAAAGCGTCATAAACCTTGGTTCCCACACAGAGTTTATTTTCTACAACGATTCCAAACTCACCTTGTCAGTCAGGACGAAAGCATTCACAATGTCGATGACCTCCTCGTGAGCTCCTGGAAGGTACGCTCCCACCTTCCTGACCAGCCACTCCTCACCTGATTAAACCCAGAAGTAACAGTTCAGATTAATTCCAATTTATTACTCAACAAATATAAATCTAATAATTAATATGATCAGATAGGATTCCAGCTTCCTCTGAGTTTTATTCTGTTTCTGTCCACTTTGAAGTGTTTAAGGTAAAATTACTGTTTTTTTAAATGGAGTCTGGTTTTACTTCTAACCGTATTTCTACACCAGTATCTGATTTCCAGGTTTTCCAGGACAGGTGGGAACCGAGGCGTGTTACCTGTGACCCTGCGGACGCCTCCTCTGTCCACTCCCTCCTTACGAGCTCTCAGTCTAATGGCCTGGTTCTCTCTGATCACCGTGGCCTTGATGGTCTCCAGCACCGCCACCTCCTTCCTGGGGATGTACGTCCCTGCAACAACACCCATTCTCATGAGATACACCAGAACTGATTCACTTTCAGATGTATTAAAGAGAGTTTCCTCTACTGATAATCCGTTCCTGCATTTTTAGATGTTTTAGTGATAATAAAAACCAACCTGGTCCTTCAAACAGCCACTCGTCTCCAGCGACTCTCTTCTCTCCTCCCTGCTCGTCGAAGTCCAGCAGAGCCTGCAGACGCAGCGCCGTGTCCGGATACACGATCTGCAGCGGAGTCACGTCCTGGAACACAAATCCTGCTCGTTAATACCCAACAACAGCGAATGACGAAGTGTCCTGACGTCAGACTGTGGATAAACGAGAGGGTCACAGACCTGCTGGATCTCCTCCCCGGGGTACAGGGGGAACGGGTCCTGGGTCAGACGGATCTCCAGGTCGGCGTGGCGGAGCTTGGCCTGACCCGACTGGTCGAAGAGGACCTGCTTATCATCGTCGCGGGTCACCGGGTTCAAGATCACGCAGTAGTGGCGCGGCGGCACCATGACCATACGGACGGGTGCAAACAGAACCCTGAGGAAGAGTAAAGACCGGATTTAAAGGCCTGTTACTTTAATGGACACCAAATAAATCAATAATCAATTAACAATAAACAGGTAAATATATTGTGTGAATGTCCCTTTATTACTTTAAAAAGGTTCAGATGTGTTCAGTACACAGCTGGAGTCAGGACGTTAGCCTAGCTTAGCATAAAGACTGGCAGCAGGGGGAAACAGCTAGCCTGGCTCTAGTTCACCAGTACCTCAGTACCGTCATCATACTAGCATGTTAATGCTGTATCTAAACACGCTAATGCTAAGAGTAACAAGCTTAAAGTCAAATATGTTAACGAGATCTAGAAGAACTAAACTTTCCGCTTTTATATCTAGAGCTGGATAAATCATCAATATCAGTAAATATCTGAGGATTTTAATTAGAATTGGAGTCCGGCAGGTTGTGGGACATTTTTTCATTGCTAAATATTTTAATCAGTATTGATTAAGAAGCTGTTATCGTGAATACTCTTACACTATTTTAAGGCGAAATTATCAATTATCAAATAATAATAATTTACATATTTACTGACATACAATTAAAATAAGTTGCAGCCCGACATTTTCCCTGAATTAAATTAATAAAATGTACAGATTGCAACACGCTCTCACATCAGTCAACCTGTACTTTGAGTTAACAGTGTCTCCGAGGCTGAGGACAGCAAATGTACTCGACCAATCAATGATGAAATCAATACTGCGTCACATGATTTGCTTACAGTGGTGTCTTTTAAAAACCCCTCAGTCAACAAGATCTGCCCGAGGGAAACCATCAGCGAGCTGCTGCTGAATGAAATCAGTGTGCGACTGCAGGAGATAACGGATGATAACTGATCCAGGTCACTCAGAAACTCAAGAAACAAACACTTTCTGTCCCTGAGTGTCACACGTTGGGATTTTCAGGTTATAGAGCGAATGAGTTAATGAAGTCAGTAGGTTTTTACTTTAAAATACAGTTTGTGGTTAAAACAAGCCGAAGATATTTTCATATTTTGTTCTACGGCATAAAACCTGTGAGTGTTGAAGCTTTTACGAGTTGTAACCATGTTGAGTTATTTTACATAACTTTTTACAGTTTAAAAACAGACTGTGGTTGTTATAATGTGTGTGTGTGTTATTGTGGTATTTTCTTATAGACGCTGCAGGAGTGACCTGGACGTGAGTAAGCATTTCAGCTAACAAAGTTTATCACCATTAAAATATGATTTTTAATATTTAATATAAAATATACACAGTTCATATATTTCCTTAGTGTGATCAGTTGTACGGACGGTTGCAGACGGTTCAAGCTTCCAAACAATAATAATATTTAAATTGTATTCAAACTAAATGTTACCGTTCATTGTCCTGGCGGATGTACGTGAGCGGTCCGATCTCCACCCGGGCGATGTTGGTGTTCTGGTCCAACACGTGGATGTAGTGGTGGGGCGGGATCCGGATGATGGAGGCCTCCACCAGCCCTTCGACCTCCGGGCCGCGGTTTCCTCCTTTCTTAGACATGATCTGAACTGAATACTGCAGAGAGACCGACAGCGAGGTCAGAAACTAAAAGATATACGAGACTTCTTAAAAGAAAAGAATTAAAACAGTCGAGAAAACTCAGAATTTAAACTTTAAACTTTCTTCACTAAATGTTTCACTTTAAGTTTCGAAATAAACTAAAGTGATTTTATTCTCACTGGAACAAGAACGGATCCGAATTGATACCATTATTGATTCTGCTGATCAGTCTGATTAGTATTTTCTCCTCTTATTGATTCCTGATCAGTTGTCTGTGTTAAAGAGTCGTTCTCCGCTGTTTTATTATCTGTTTATATTGTTTTATATAGCAGGTTGGAAATGTGCCGACCGATAGACTGGTTGTTGATTCACATCCATACAGGAAGTTGCCTTCAATTTCTAATAAATTATACAAAATAATCACAACTATTTTTATAATTTTCCACAAAAATGCAGAAAAACATCCCAGTTTTTATAAAAGCTGCTGTGAAAGGGGACAGTTTCTGCCCGAAATGGAAAAACAAAAGAGTTTTACACTGAAAAAAGATTTAAATTGTTACTGCAAATGTTTATCGGATCTAAATATCTGTTATTGGATTCCTTGATTACTAATAATCAGTATCTGTATCAGCATATGAACACATCCGTCGATCCCTACGTCGAATATTTCAATGCTCCGAAGGAATGAAGCTCAAAGTTGAAACATGACTCAGAGAAAAAGTGCTGAGCGTTAAAAGCACAAAGGAACAAAAGGAGCCGTGTTTTACTCTGAAAGGTCGTATGAAGTTGCGAGCTGCTGCTGGGAGATAAATGAGTTTCTGTGAGATGTAAACTGGCTGTTAAACATCAGCAATGAACGCAGACACGCCTGCTACACAAAGTACAAAGTCTACAGTCTGTCACTGTCAGTAGCCGGTATACTATATAAACATATACTCGAGTATCTAGACACTTTACTGGAGTCGTTCTTTATGTCTCACACAGAAATATTATCAGACAGAACGTGTTTTATTATTAGAAACTAAACTACCCAACAGTTTATACAAGCACTAATCAATACGATTAGCAGTTTGATGGTTCACTGTAAAACAAATTAATTAAATATTATTAATGAAAAGAGTTCTTTTATCAATGTTAAAGGAATTAAACACATATAAAAAATGTATTGTTGAAGCAACTCAGTTGTTTTGAGTGAACTTAACTCATTTTGACTTTGGTTTTATTTCAGTTTATTAATCTTAATTATCCCAAATATGCATCCAAATAATTCATAATACAGAAAACTATTCGGCTATAACTTTGATAATGAATTAATTATAAGGTTTGTATCATACTTCAGCTGTTTGTGATGTAATCATTTGATTTAGTGGAAGAAAACTGAGTAAATTTAATATTTATATAAAGAAAATTAATTTAAGTGACTTTATTTTAGATACTTTCTGTATAATATGAGTTTAACTTCAATTAACTGAAAGAAATTAACTTAATTTACTGAAGTGAACTCAACAATAAATACTTGAGTTACTTCATTCAGTCACTTAAACATAAAACTAGTAAATATAAAACATTCATACGCAGCATTTCTCTCAACTTATTTTAAATGTTTTATTTATCTTATCTGAATAACTTTAATACTTTTTTATTCTTTATTCAAATGTTACCAGAAACAAACTGAAAACTTTAAAAACTGCACATTTAAGTTCACTGAAACCTGTTTTAACAATCTGTTTTTAATTCACGTTGAACCTCACTGCTTCACCGCGTCATCAAACTGTTGATGTGCTGCAGATAAACTTTAATAAATAAATAAATAATGTAGATCTGCTGCTCACAGACACTGTAATGTGGAAACCGTACACATTATAGGCTGAAGCAGTTTAAATATGGGTCCAACTCAACCACAGAAAATGGAAACTGTGATGAAGGAGGAAGATGAGGCCTCTTCATCGCTGCTGGTCTGAGCTTCACAAACAACAAACCTGGCACTTAATTAGCTGAAGCACTTCCTGGTTTTTCTAGACCTGGACGCCCTGACAACCTCTTGTGTTTCAGGAGAGAACCTGACACCAAACTCCCTTTACAAGTCTTCTACATTTAATCTCCCCTCCTCTGTTGGGGCTGTGCTCACACCTCGCAGTGCATTAAGATTATTATTAAAGGGATGAAAAGGAAGCTGCGATGATTTCGGCAGACATTATTAAACACCAGGAAGTCTAGTTTCAGCATATGCTGTAAAGTCACTGCCCTGCACTGACTGACGCTGTTAGCACAATAAAACTGTTGTTAAAGCTGTTTCTTTGTTCAGATAAAGAGCATAATGCATGCCGATTGAGAGTTCAGCTCATATTCAATCAGAAAAACATTTTAATATCCATCATATCGTGCACAGGTATCCGCTGATTAGTGCGGAAGTTTTAAATTGAGAGATTTCCAGGTGGAGTTCTTACCTCGTCCTCGTGAGGCTGTGGAGCGGTGGGCGGGAGGCAGGCAGCTCACACTGGGTCGGTCCAGACTCACACTGGGTCGGTCCAGACTCACACTGGGTCGGTCACTGGTGAACTCAGCGTCCAACAGCACCAACATCCAAACAGCTGCAGAGGAGGTGCAGGGGGGGGGGCGTTCACTGATCCCGGAAAACAGCTCACGTGGTTTACCGACTGCAGGCTGCGTCAGACGCACGTCACAGTCAGGTGGTGTAAATGTATACTTTAATTAATCTATTATAGCTCCTTTATCGATCTATAGGCAGTGAGTGATGTAATCCTTTATTTACGTTTAACGTGCTGGGATGACGTAGGGAATACCGCCTCTGACGTGTGATGCAGAGAGAATGACGACATGGTGCTGGTTACCTGTGTCCGGAGTAAAACCGCACAAATGGAACAATGGATGAGGAAAATAAACTGAATTCACTTTATTCACTAAACTGTGTTGGTCACCTGATTATGGAAGCCCAATGCTGCCAACAGGCTCCATAACTTCGTCACTATGAAGCTTTTCTGAAAGAGAAAGCATCATCTGTTAAAGCAATTTATCTTTGTAATATAATTCATAACTAATATTAGAATTAATAAAAGGGTTAAAAAAAACATCACTAGACTACGAGATTAACATGAACTCCCTGTAAAACAAACTCAGAATTTAAAGGCAAAGACTGGAAGAGATGAAAGGTTTGTTTCAGTTTCTATGTGTTTTAATTTCTTTACATAAAGGGAGAAAACTCCTGTTCAGAGATTATGTGACAATGTTTTAAAGAAATAACAAACAGATTTGATATCAACGGTCAATAACAAGAACTCTAATACACAATTTAAAGGGAACTGTCTTCATTAAATGTTTAAAGTCAAACTTAATCTGAAATAAACTCCCAACAATAATCTGTTGTTGAGATTCTTCTTAAATCTTTCAGAAACAAAAAGTTCTGAATTTAAAAAATGTAAAAATTTGTTTCTAAAACTTAAAGATTCATGTTTTTCTAAAGAAAAGTTTAAAAAAATAAGTTGAGAAAACTAATTTCAAAGCAACTGTCTACATCAATACCTTATATTCAAACTCGTTTTAGTTTTTAAATAAACTGATAATAATGATTATTTACTTTGTATCATGAAAAACATAAATCTTTAAGTTTCAAGCACAAAAACTTTGAATCTCAAAAATTGTTCAGAAAACTCAATAAAGTAAAAAAACTGTTAATAATTTAATATTTTCAATTGCAGCTATTTAATTTAAAAACAACCAAATAATGAAAATTCATTTATTCATTGTGATTTTTTATTTAAGTTTTTCTAAAGAAGAAAAGTGAATTATCTCAACAACAGATTATTATTATTATTATTATTATTATCCAAAACATTTTATCATTGTTTATTTCAGAAATAAACAAATAAAAATGTTTTGCATCGTAAACAACTTCAACCAATGGTTGATTTGTCAGTTTATGGTAAACCTAGCAACATTAAGCTAATTTGATTAAAGTTGACTATTTGCTATGAAATAAAAACTTTTGATCATTTATTTTTGTCAATATGAAACATTTAATGTTATTCCATCATAAATATGTTGAAATAGTTTCCTAAGTTTGGAGTTTTTCTCACTTTGAGATGTTTTCAAAGTAGATAAATATCCAGAAATGTTAGTACTGGTGGTACGACTACTTCCACACATGCTGGTATACAAATATTACTACAATTGTAAGAGAATGTGGTTTTTAATACCTTTATTTTTTTTTATTTCTCTTTTTTACTAGATGGATGCTAAAACAGACTCTTAAACCCACACACTCTTCTGGCCCTTGTACCAGAAAATCCTCAAGACTCTGATGATGATCTGAGTGAGGTTGATGACCAAATAGATGATCCTGATTATAGATGAATTACAACAACTTTGGACATTGACCACTGCACTGTGACAAGCGAGGGCGATGCAACCTCTGTCCAAAGGGTGTGTCAAGATGGAAATGCCAGAAATGCAATGTTTTCCTGTGTTTGAACACAAACCAGGAATGCTTTGTAGCATACCACCAGAAATAAAATGGATCTAATGCTCCAAAAGCATGTGTGCTGTTGCACCACCACACAGTGGAGCTGTTGTGATGAAAATGTTAGAAATGTAATGTTTGTGTTTTTATGTGTTTTGCAAAGTTATGCTGTGTTTGCATTTTTAAATACTGCATAGTATGCCACCAGAAATGTGGATCGATGGATTATTTGCAGAAGTGCAATTCTTTTCCTGTATATTGCAATATTTTGTTAAAGTGAAAATGTTTTGTGGCATATTACCACAAATAAAGTGGGTCTAATGTCTAAAAACGTGTTTTTGTTGTGTATTTCTTCATCAATTAGCATTATATTTGATTTTTTCCCGTTTTTGCTTTTTTTATGAATTTCGGTACTTCAACCATGAAACGACACCTCGACCATTTGGTAGAGGGCAATATTTTAAAAACTATGGGGTCAGTTAAAAAATTGGTGGTTATTATTGACTCAAATGAACAAGAAATGCAAAAGAAACATTTTTCCAAAGCTTGTTTATTGGTGGGGTTGTTAAAGGGTTAAAGTTCAAGTTTCACTTAAAACTAAAACATTTAGTGACGTTTCCTTTAGAACTTTGAGTTTTATCAGCTGTAAAATATCTCATAAATCACTTCACATCCAGATATTAAAGACAAAAAGCACAAACACTTCTCCTTTTACCAAATGTTTTTCATTTAATTATGACAAAGTAAATGCATATATTATACAGAAATACATAGAAGAATGTTTTAATTTCTTTTTAATGCTGCGTTTTATTTCCTCCGGCGCTGCGAGGACGAGCCGACGTGTTCGGGTCAGGAGGGAGTTTTCCTGAGAGCGTCTCATTCACACAGAGCGAGGTCATGCTAAATATGGATCCAACATTAATCAATACAATAAACAGGAAGAGTTCAGGGTTAAAGGAAATGTTTGTGAAAATATCTGAGGAACATTTGTACAAAGACTTTGGTTGAATATCTGCTCCTGTATATAGCTCTAGTGTACAATATACATATTTAGATAACTCTAATTTAAATACTAATTTGGCTAACACGAATATCAAAAAATAATATGTATATCGCCGACACTGTCTTCCACTGTACACTGAGCTGAACATGCTTCCCTTTGTATCTCTGAGCACTTTTACAGCTTCATAAACACTTTGAACAACACGAACACGTCGACGCCGAGCCGAGTGGAAGACTGACTACACGTGGTTAAGATCACTTGGTATAAAATAGATTTTTTTTGTTTTTAAATATTACAAAAAGGTAAAATTTGAAATGGTCAGACACGATGAATAGAGAGCCGAGTCCAGGTTCTGTTCCACCAGGAAGAAAAATCACATTTATGACACAACAACTGAAAATCAGCCTCAAAACATAACTGTGGTTCTCTGTTTGTATTTTAACTTCAGTTTATAATGATATAATAACACAATAACTGCTGCCTGTGGACTGATTTCGGCTGGCTGTGTCTTGGCGTTGCATTGTGGGTCTGGCGTCGGTTGCTTCGTGGTGTTGGCTGATGGGTGATTTGTAAACGGCGAGCTAGTTAGTAGCATGGAGCTAACGGTCCAAATAAAACATAGGAACATTGCAGATAGTAACGTTATTCTAAATATGATTGTCAGTTATTTTACAGCGTTCAGTGTTTGTCACTGTTGGCTGACGCCCAGGATGCAGTTCACTGAACGACCACTGGTGGCGCTGTTAGCAACAGTTTAATGACAATTACATACAAAACTTTTAAATATTATTTTAAGGACATTTTGAATACTAGAATACTTTGTAATTTGAACAGCTACTAAGAGTTTCAGAGGTTTGTAATACTGATATCATAAACTTATCTGATCTGTGACTTCCTGGATTGTATTTCACTGTCTCACATTTACCTGAAACAAAACGACCACAACACATTTAGTTTAATACGGGAGGACAACACGAAAACTGCTGGAAGTTGACACTTCTTACAGGCAACATAATTAATATTTAAATGTACTTTTAGATATTAAATAAGTGTTAAATCCAGGAACAGATTGAGTTACAGACAGTTAGTGGAACGGATGCTGGACAGGAAGTGAGGTCAGGACTCGGCTCTGTATAATGTCAAAAAGATAAAACTTCATGTTACAATATTAGTCTATAACAAGAATCATAATAATCTGTGGGCTGATAATAAACCGCTGGTCCAACTTCTTCTTTGTTTGGTTCATGTTTGATAGGATACGACAACACGGCCGTTAAAAAGGTTTAAAAAAGGGGCCGTTCATCCGCTCAGTAACCAGACGTCTGTTAGAAATGTGAGCGAAGGACCTCGTGGAGGAAGCACAGCGGAGGTTAAGTGCTGGTGTTCAGGCTGAGAAACCAGACGAGTGTTTTTGCTCCTCCGACTGCGTCCGTTGTGAAGTTCAGAGCAGAGGGGTGAGGACAAACACCCTGTTTCCCCCTTTTGTCTGTCTCTGTTTTCACTTCCTGAGGTTGAGGGTGAATATTCTGTCTATTCAAAAAGTCTTCAGTCCAACATGGCGTCCAGCTGGTCGGCCAGGTCGTCAAACATGTTGCCGATGTCGTCCAGAATTGTCCCTGCGGACTTCACCGTGTTCGGCCCGCTGGTGGAAAAACAGGAAAATACATGTTAATACAACATTACTTTCTTTTTTAAATTATTATTATTTTGGCCTTTATTTGACAGAGATAGCTGGAGAGAGACAGGAAAGGGGGGCAGAGAGAGAGAGAGGGGACAACATGCAGCAAAGGGCCGCAGGTCAGACTCGAACCCAGGCCGCTGTGTATATGGGTAGCCAGCTCTACCGACTGAGCTAACCGAGTCCCATCAATACAACATTACTGAGAGAACGTGAATATTACGCAGCGAAAAAGTGACGAATCACTAGAAACAAGGTCGAGTTTTCTGAGATTTCGTGAATAGTTTGTGAAGAGTTGCTGGTCTACCACTGCCTTGATCGGTTGTACCAAAGATTATTAAAGAGATAAAGTACAAACTCAGTCTCGGGAATATCTTTTACGTCCAAACCGAGAGCGTAAGCTGTGATGAAGGGTCGTAACAAAGGTTGAGAACCGTCGGTTTATCTGAGGAACCTAAAGATTTGTCCAGATGTGACACCAGTGGAAAGGACGTTCTTCCTCGGAGAACAAAGAATAATCACAATAACTGTAACCTACCAACAGTTTTTAAGATATTTAGTTTTGAAATAAACTGTTGGACGGACATCAGCATCTTTAAACCCCGACTAAGCAGGTCAACATGATGAAACACCAAACAACTGAGGAACGTAAAGACTTAACAAGGTCTAACCTGTCTGAGTTGTCCTCCAGATTCAGTTTTCTCTCGACGGCCATCAGAGCTGCTTCCAGAGATGTGCTGGTATGATCCAGTCTCTGCTGAACCACCTCAGTCCCGCAGGATGACTCAGGGATGAGACCCGGACCCACCACACACACATGAGGCATCGCCGCTGTCAGTGAGGGACTCTGAGGGGCCGGAGGGGCCGGAGCTGGAGCTGGAGCCAGGGGCCAATGAGCGGGAGAGGACGGAGAGCTGAAGGCCACACTCTGAACCCCGCTGACGGTCACAGACGGAGAGGAAGGTCCAGCTGCTGAAGAGACAACAGCAGGTAAGATACCAACAAGTCTAAGTCAAATAATAATAATCCATTAAGTACCAAGTCAATTCCAACAAGTCCCAAGGCAAGACCAACAAGTACATAGTCAAGAGTAACAAGTCCCAAATCAAGAAGCTACAAGTTCCATGTCAAGGGTTAGGGAACGTGGTCAAGTCCACAGAGTCAAGTATGTAGTACTTGACGAAGTTCCCTCTCAAAACCAAAAAGTCCCAAATTAAGTCCAAAGTCAAACCACACAGGTCCCACATCAAGAGCTCAAAAGATAAAAGTCCAAAAATCAAGTCCTGAGAGCAACAAGTCCCAAATCAAGAAGCTACAAGCCCCAAAAGCAATATGTCCAACGCCAAGAAGAACAAGTCAAAATCAAGACCAAAGTTTCAATGTTTGATGGACATTAAATGGAAATTGTTGTTCACTGAAAAGCCCTTAATTATTTGAATTGGATACTGTTCAGACTTTGGTTCAGGTGAGGTGGAGGTTCAGCCAGAACAAGTGAGAATTTTCTTACTAAATTGTCTTCAAATACACATCAAGACTACTGTTAGTATCTCACCTTGTGCTGCCAGCAGACTGTGGCGGACAGGTTTTGGGGCAACGGCAGGAGGTTTTGGAGAGAGGGGAGGTTTGATGGGAGATCCTGTTGCGGGACTGGCTGGCCTCTCCAAACTGGCCTCACTGATCCTCAGACTGACCTCCTGGCTCTGGGATGGTGGTCTGCTGCTGCCGGACTCTGACTCAGCTGCTCCCTCTCTGCTGGGGGAGCCTCCTCCCTGCTCCCTGTCTTTAGGTTTGTGCCGGCGCTTCACCGTGTCCGATTCCTTCAGGTTAAACTCGGGCACCTCCAGGTTCTTGGCTGCTGGTTTCTCTGGAGGCTCCAGCACAGCCTCGGCCCTAGGTGGCCCCGGAGCTTTGGGTCTCTGTTTGATGGTCAAGTTGCCCTCCTCGGCGAAGGGGATACACTCACTGGAGCTGTTCTGAGGGGATGAGGAACCCTCCAGCCCACGACCTTTTGATTCTTCTTCCTCAGAGTCAGACTTCACTCCTCGATCTGGTTCAGTGCTGCTGCTGGTCTGGGTGGGAATGTACTCACTTTGCACCCTCCTCCTCACCCCAGCAGCCTCTCGGGGTTCCTGCCCTGCAGGGTTGAGGGAGGGGGGAGGCAGCTCCTGCTGAATGAGATCTGGTTTAGGCCCTGGTGGGTTCTTCATCTCTGTCCTGCCTTCTAAAGAGGCTGCGATGCTCCTCACGCTCACTGGACTGTCTGTGACCGCCCCGCCAGCAGACGACGTTGTGCTGCTGTCGCTCAACTCCCCACTGGTGGTGCTGCTCACTGAGCTCAGCCTCTTTGGAGGAGGAGGAGGGGGACCTTTTTTCCGGGCACGCACTGCGAAGGACTGACTGCGTCCCACATTGCCGTTCTTTTCTGGACTCAACTGTAATCGAGCCAGCTGGCTGCGACCAGGTTTGCGGGTCAGGGTTGCATATGACGACAGGTTTCCAGAAGGAAACGCCGAATCGTCGTCGTCCTCATCGGGCTCTCCATCCGACAGAGCGTAGCGGGTCATGCTCTGGGCGCGCTTCTTGGGCGGCGTCAGGGTCATGGAGTGGCCCTCAAGCCTGGACGATGAGCTCAGGTCTGTGGAGCCACACTGAGAATGCAGGTAGCTGAAACCCTTCAATGCTGGGGAGCCATGAGGTGAGGGACCGCGAGATCCAGACAGTTTGGGCTTGGCTGGGATTGCCGGGTACTTAAACACGGTTGCCGTGCCCAGAGGCACCTGCTTGGGCAGCGGCTGCTGCTGTAGAGGCCTCTGGTCCCAGCCCTCTGGGAGGTTCCTCTCCTTGGCGGGGCTGCCATCCAGACTCTCCTGAGACCAGCTGTGGGGGGTGATGGAAGCCGTGGGGGGCTCCTGGGAGCGTCCAGAGCCTCTGGATCGGGTGTCGATGCTCTCCTGGCTCTGGGACATTCCCACAGCGTTCTTGATGGCGAAGCCTTCCTCGCAGCCTCCGTAGTGGCTGGACATGGCCGTCTGCAGCTCAGCGCTCAGTTCGCTGTCCTGGAAGGTCAGCATCTTTGGGGTGTGAGGAGAAGAGCATTCACCTGTTGTGTCAGGCGGCTCAATGGTGACCAGGTGCAGGGCTCCGGGGCCTTTGCGACGCAGCGTTCCTTGGCCTGATTCGGCCTGAAGGATCGCCCTCTGGATGTCACACAGCTTCTTCACTGCCAGCATCAGCTTCTTCTGGTGTCCTGGAAGGAAGATTCAACCATAATACCAACATTAAAAACACTGGTCCAACAGTTAGACTGCCAGAATGTGAACATACAGTGAGTTCTCACCCAGCTTGGTGATGCCGATCTCCTGCAGGTCTTCCCACGTGAGGTCTTTGACAATGCTGATGGAGTCGTAGCCGTTTTCTGAGAGTTTTTTGTGGTACTGCGGGAGGCCGATGGCACTGAGCCACTCACCCAGATCGGACTGTGGGAAAGAGCAGATCACTCAGATCAGTTGGTATCAGAGTTTTGAGGTCAGCGCGTTCAGTTGTAAACTGTTGGGAGTCTTACTGGGATGTACTCGGGCAACCACTCAGGGATATTCAGGTTGTTGATCTCGATGGAGATTTTCTTCCGGTGGCCTGGTTTGGTCACTCCGATGGCAGTCAGATCCTGCAGACAGTCAGCACATTACTCTTGATATAAGACGGGTTTTACACAGTGGTTTACAGAAACAGCTAAATTAACTGTAAAACCTCAAGAAAAAAATGTCTCATTATTACTAATGAGGGGGAGAATAATTCAGGGGCTCCACTTGACTTTTACAGGTTAGTGTTTAAACCACAACTAGCTAGCTAGTTTATTAGCTGACACGTGAGCTAATCAGAATTTGTTCCGATCTAGAGTCAGTGTTTGGTTTGTCCGTCTGGGCTGAGCTGTAGAAACGTGGCGGACTCCACCAGAAGAGGACCAAACACATCGATTCTTATATTCAGGTGATTAAACACTAATGAAAACATACTTATGAATATTATATTATATTTCTGACTATAGAGCCTCCTCAGTGTTACCCACTGGACCAAATCCAGCAGTGTTTACCTCAGGAGTCATCCTGCTGATGGTTGGTACATCGTAACCAGCACTGATGAAGTTCCCAGTATACTGCTCCAGCTGGAACTCACTCAGCCACTGGTAGATGGCCTCGGCATCCTACAACACATAGTACAAACACACTGGGGATGAAACTCTGCTGCTCAGTTAAAAATGTGACAGGAAATTATAAAATAACCTTTCTTTGGGACTGAATTATTTGTAGTTTGTTTGTAGTGGTGACAGAAATGTTTTTGAGGAGTTCTGGACATTTTTTTACCAGCTAAATGTTTCTATTGGCAGTTAAGGCAGAGTGGAGGTCATGTGGCTCAAGTTCTACCTATTAGGCAACTTTCTGGCGTTTTACAATTACATATATGTTTATATTTGACATCATAATCTGTATATATTGTGATTATATATTGTGATCCATTCTGTGGTTCTTCCTCTTCAGGTCTCCATGGTGGAGTACATCTCACTCTGTGACACTTGGAGTAGTTTGAACGTTATAATCTTTATGTATCAGAAATTGTGTCATCAATGTATAAAATGTGATTTTGTTGCTTTGTTCTGTACTTTGTATTTCCTGTCTGTGCGTCCTCTGTGGTTTCTTCCATTTTTATCCACATTAAAAGGTTTTTTAGAAGAGTTTTTACCTGAATTGAGACTCTGAGGACAGAAGATGGATTTTGGCTGTGTAAATAAAATTTTATTTGACTTTGAAGTAAAAAGCGAAAGATTAATAAAAACAGAAGTCAGTATAAAGACAGATGTGTACCTTCCCCTCCAGCAGCTGCTGAGGACGAACAAACTGCTGGGAGAAACTCTGCTCAGCGGGTCTCTGCACCGTCACCGCCTGCCTCCGAGGAGTCCCACCTGCAGGGACGTCACAACACACCTCAGCAGGTGAACTCGAAACCAGCTTACAGATTGTAAATGTTCCCTCAACAGGTAAAGGGATTTAGTTCAGCTACAAGAGTTTAAAAGAGAGTTGCAGATAACCAGAAACAGATGTGATGGTATAAATAAATAAATAAAGATGTAATAATAAAGATTTCTGTTGTTTCTGTTGTGATTCAACAGGAGATTAAATGAAAGGAGAAAATAAAGGAAATTGAACAAACACAATCTCATTTTGCTGCATCCATCACATAATCTCCTGTTAAAAGATTATGTGATGGATGTTTAAGGGAAGAAATAAAGAAATCAAACGCTGACGTCAATAATCAGTAACAACAACTCTAACACACTGTAAAAAAAAAAGTTCAGAAAACTCATAATTTAAAGGCAAATGTTTTACGTCAAACTCAAACTTTTAAGTTCTGAAATAAACTATAACGACCAAATAATAATCTGTTCTTGAGGTAAATTACTTTACTTATTTAGAAAAACTGAAATCCAACATAAAATTCTGCGTTTCAACAATTGTTCACAGTAAATTTTCATTATTTGCACTGTAAAAAAAAGTGGGGACAAGTGGTTAAAAGTCAAACTTAACTCTTAATTTTTTTAATAAACTAATTATAACTATAATTTACTTTTCTTCTCCTTCAGGAAAACATGAATCTCTGAGTTTTAGAATTTTTTAAATACATATTTTTTGTTTTCAAAACTTAAAGATTCATGTTTTTCTAAATAAAACAAGTAAATTATAAAGTAAAGTATTATTATAATTAGTTTATTTCAGTTTGAGTTTGACAGTTACCTTTACACTGTCTGTTGTTGACTGTGCTGGTGGACAATGTGTCACTGATGTAAAGGAGCATTAAGGAGAAAGTTACCTGCAGGATGATCGAGCTGTGTGCTGAGGTCAGAGTGTGCAGAGTCAACAGCAGGGGGCGCCGGCTGCACACAAACACACCACAAACACACTGAATATTTATCATATGAGCTTTATATTCAAGCTGCTAACAGATGATTTTATAATCAGTTTATACCAAAATGTCTAGAAAATGAAAGAAGGATTCATTCTGTGAAGAAAACAACATTTTGTACCAGATAGTTTTTATTTTTCATTATGTTTCTATTTTTTGTTTTTAGTATCAGTGTTAGTTTTTTTCTATTATAACATTTGGGGTATTTGTCAGAATATGTATTATAAAACAAACACACTGACTCCAGGTCTCAGTAAACAGACCAACGGTCTGACTGTACCTTGTTGGCGTTGTCATGGTGACCAGTGTTGTGTTGGAGTCCGTTGGGTGCGTTGTTGCTCTCGGTGCTCTGTCCACTCCCGGCGCTGCGGGTGCTTCCGACGCTGCCGGTGCTCCCGACACTGTTCCTGTCTCCAGCTGCAAAAAACAACAATAAATAAAAGTAACATAAATCCACGAAGTCCGGGAGGGACGAGATCAGCAGAGAGGATCGGCGTCAGGCTGTAGGAAGCAGGCCAACAGGGGCTGACGGGGCCAACTGGGGCCAACAGGGGGGCCAACAGGGGGCTGAGGGGTGAGGGGGCTGGGGGGTGACGACTGGAGTGACGGGCGGGATGCAGGTTTCTGGTATAAAAGCTGTGCTGTGGCAGAGCGGGGGGGAGCACAGCCGCAGGCACGAGTCCATTAATGACCGTTAATGTAGCATCAGGCTTAAAGACAGAATACGATTAAATACAGTTTCTGTTGCGCTGTCACAGTCTGAATTAATACTGACTCTAAATGCAGGTAAAAATACTAATAACCTTTCCTAAGCCCCGCCCCCTTTTTGCTCCGTGCTCCAATAACAGTTGAGCAAGCCTCGGTCAACTTCCTCCTTTCCTGTACTTAAAACGCTATCTAACGATTGATTAACTATCTAGTTATCTAGCGTTTTGCTAATGTTAGCTATCAGATATAACTAGCGAACTAATGTTTAATGCAAATTAGTTAGCTGGTCTGTATAAAAATGCTAGTTAGCTAGTTAACATTAGCTAACTTATGTAAATAACTAACCATCTTAAAATCTAGCCTAGCACATAGCATAGCATCTAAGTGCTCAACTGTTGTTGGAGCACAGAGCAAAAGGGGGCGGGGCTTAGGAAAGGTCAATTGTGGTTCTGTATAAACTGCAAAAGCCTTAAAGACGATCATCCGAACTGTCGCTTACAGAACTACGACGTGACCTGAATTAATCCGTCCCTCCAGGAAGTCGTCGTTTGTAGTTGTGAACATTTACAAACTGTGATTTTATTCTCACTGTTCTCTTCGAATTTTAATATGCAAAGAAAATCATCAACTAATTTTGCAATTTTCACTTTGTCCTCGGAGTTAATTGCAAGAAATGTATAAAAACATTGCGACATGCTGTGAAATCTTGAGCTGCAACAATCCACCAAAAACCTGCTAAATCCTGGAGGGACTGATTAAATAATGATATGAATGAGTTAAAACAAGAACAAATCCCCAAAACTAATTTCTAAAATAAGAAAGTTCACAGCAAAAACATTATTAGCTAAAACCCTTTAGTGAATTCATGAAAGCCAGCTTTTAAAAGCTTTGTGGGAAATGATGTAAGTTGGAGGGAATTGGTTCTGGCTTTGATATTTGTGAAATGACATGCAACTACATAAAAACAGCTTCATAAAATCTTTATGGATAACATAAAGAATCGCTGACAGATTCAACCGCTTTTATCAGCTACATCAGAGGATCCTGACTTAAATCACTGAGACTCACTGAGCCTCCATTAAGCTTCTGCTGTGTGACAGTTTGAATAATGAGAACAGGGATGAACCAGTGTCGTCCTCCTGCAGCAACAGATAGTCAGACGCTCTGACCGATAGTTCAGCCTGAAGCAGACGATACAGTGAATCAGAGCTTGGACCCGACACACCAAGTTGGCTGACTGTCAACCTCAGCTGTCGTTGTGGCTCCATCAGTGACCTGATTTAGCCTTTAGGTGAGTTTGTGTTTGAGACATTGAGGTGATGATGATGATGACATGATGAGGTGACACAACAAGGAATGACAACGTGAAGCAGAGTGAGGCAACTTGACTCGCTGCCTCACACTGCTTCAGTGATGTGATGTAAAGTGACAGGAGCTGATATGAGGCAACTAAAACCAACGTGTGACGACGTTTTGTGATCTGAGGTGAGAACAAGTGACAAAAGTGACCAAGTGGAACGAGACGTGAAGTGATGTGAGATAATCTGAAGCTGAGATATGTGAAACGACAAAATAATGTGAGGCAATGAGAGATAAGAGAGAGAGATAATGTGAAGTGTTGTGAGATAATGTGAAGTGATCTGAGATCATGTGAAGTGTTGTGAGATCATGTGAAGCGTTGTGAGATAATGTGAAGTAAAGTGAGATCATGTGAAGCGTTGTGAGATCATGTGAAGTGATGTGAGATCATGTGAAGTGATGTGAGATCATGTGAAGCGTTGTGAGATCATGTGAAGTGATGTGAGATCATGTGAAGCCTTGTGAGATCATGTGAAGCGTTGTGAGATCATGTGAAGTGAAGTGAGATCATGTGAAGTGAAGTGAGATCATGTGAAGTGAAGTGAGATCATGTGAAGTGAAGTGAGATAATGTGAAGCGATGTAAGATAATGTGAAACGACATGAGGCGAAGCAAGGCAACAGCCCTCACATTGTATCGACAGTAGTTGTTTAAGTCGTCTTGGTGTGTCGGGTCCTGATGCAGAGCGTTGAGCGGGGCAGCGAGGCAGCTTCAGAACAGCCGGGGAGGAGAAGCTGTCGTTCGGGGGCTCTTACCATTACACGAGTCCCTGAGAACCCAGATGTCCTCAAAGGGAAACTCAGACTGAGACAGGCGGCTCGGAGACAAACCTATCGGACACAAAGACTCTGATGGACTGCGTTCTGTGAGGGGGGCTGACTGAGGATAAAGATTAGATAGAAGAGGATTTGACTGGGTCTCGGCTGAGGAGGAACCTGTTGGAGCTGACCTTTGATTTGGGACCCTTACAGTGAAAATGAAAAAGAAAGATCCTTGTTCTTCATGCAGATTAGTGATGATACTTCCTGTTTATTCAGGATCATATCATAATCCATAACTCGGATACCAGCGTAGATAAACTCATGATCATCAACAACATGATTCCACATTCCACATATCTGTGTGTCCTGAGTGTGTGTACCTGTGTTGGTAGTGAGGCCGTTGGCTAGCGGCAGCACCACGTGGGTGGGGGGTGCGTACAGAGTGTAGGAGTCGTCGGTCTGAGGGGCGGAGCTGAGGCTGGAGGAGAGGGGGGCTCTGGACAGCAGCTGCTGGCGCTGGGTGGGCAGGGAGGCGTGCCGGGACAGGGTGCCCCCTACAGGGCAAGAGGGAGGAGGAGGAGGAGGAGGAGGAGGAGGAGGGGAGGTTATCAAGCTGATGGTTAGAGGTGGAGGTCAGTCATTACGTGGTATGGATGGAGATGGATGCAGGAGGGAGGAGAGAGGAGGAGGAAGCATGGGATGGTCTGAAAGCAGGCGGATTAGTTTCTAACTAAAATGGGTTTCCTGACAATCGAAGGGACGTACTGATGAGTCCAAGTACACAGAATGAAAGTAGAAGTCTGGTGATATTCAACATTTTCCGTGTGGATTAATGCTGAAACTACGATGTTACGACGATCTGAAGGTAAAATGAGTGTTTCTGTCTCTGGAGTCTGTCAGTAGTGGACGCACTTTGTCCCCAAGAATTAACATTAGCTTACGCTGGGTTCATTGCAGTTCTTTTCTTCATGTCTAACTCGGTGAATTAAGGATTTATTTCCACCAAACCAGAGTTGGTGATTGTTGGAAAGACTAACAAAGACAGTTTGGTGAGTTTCTGTCCAGTTTTAAGGGTGTTTTACAATTGGTAAAACTGCTTGGTAAAACTAGGGGATTTGTCAATGGAGTCTGGTGGGCAGTAGTTCCCATTGTTTCGGTCTCAGATGCTGGTGCTCTAGTTGCAGTGAATGTCGTATATATATAACCTTTATGGGACCAGATCCAGTTTAACTCCTGTGTTTCCAGCTGGATGTTTTAATGTGTGATCTGAGTCGTCCTCTCTGTGTGCAACTGACCGTTTCGTCTGCTGATGACCTCTACGATGGACGGAGGGAAGAATCCCACTCGGTCCGTCCCTCTCTGGGTGTCGTGGATGTGGCCCTTCCAGCGCCCGTCCACGTGCTGTTCTAACACCTGCAGGGGACGAGACGGGTCACTACGGGCCGCTGGTACCTGGTACCAACCCCCCACCCAAAATGCATGAGAAAATATCAGCTTCCTTTCTATCTCCTCACACGTTGGAAATATCTTCAGTTCAACTGCCACAGGAAGTAAACAAAACACAGCTGCCTTCCAAATTAAAGGCATACTAGGTAGGACTGTCCTATAAAACAATGTACTGTAAACATAAACCCTCTCAATCCTCACTACGACTAACGTCTCTCCCTCTCCTCATTCATTCTCTATGGAGCTCCACCGAAGCTGCTAACAGACAGATCCTTCATTGTATGCTTTTAACGCAACACTTAATCTTTTTGAAGCGAATTAAACGTCCGAAGAAAAAATCAACATCTACTGACTCAGTGTCTGCAAATAATTGAACAACATGAAAGGATTTTTCCATAAAGAACTTTTGTGATGTTTCATGTTCAGTACAAATCCCAACATGAATCCACAGACCTTCAGCTTTACTCACTGACAGGAAGTCTGACCTGTGAACAGTTTCTGATGATTTACAGTCAGAAGTGATTCACACTGAAATATAATCACTCACAGTGGAGGAGAGTAACTACATTAACTTAAGTACAAATTAAAGGTATTTGTACAGATACAAAACACAATTTAACCCACTTCCTTTAGTTGAGCTACAAAATAACCCTCCAATAATTAATTTCTGTTGAATGTATTAATGCATTATTCCGGTAACATATCAATTAAACCAACATACATTTAAGAACAAAACTACAAAAATAAGGCCCAAGTTAAAATAATCTGTCTTTGTTTAATGAGGCTGAATTCTGGCTCACTGATCTCTGAGCGTCTCACCATGATGACATCTCCGGCTCGGATGTTGAGGGCGGTCGGGTCGTGGAGGTTCCAGTAATCCTTCAGAGCTCTGACCTGCAAAACACCTGTCGCATCTGTCGAGGAAACATCCACAGAACATCTAAACTCCTTCTTTAACTGAAATCTGAAATTAGATTATTTTCTTTACAGAAACAGTCTCAGTTTAATATAATGAGTCCAAAAAATACCAGACATTCTCCAAAATCCTTCAGTATTCTGGATTTTTAAAGCACATTTTAATTGTTTCAGCAATAAACAGATTTGATTAACAAACCGTTAATAAATACATAAATGTCTTATAATTAACAGTAGGAATCAGAAACAGTGAGTAACATCCTCTCTTGCTCATCGTGAGTAATTAAATATTGTTCAAACACGTCTCAGAAGGTGTGTGAATCTTTTCTCTCTGTTAAGTTATTCTGAACCAACTAAACTGACATTTAATATAAAAAAAACAACAAATAGTAAAAGTGAAGATCTGTACGATAGTTAAAGGTTCAGTGTGGAGGATTTAGTGGCGTCTAGTGGTGACATTGCAGATTGCAACTAACTGAATACAGCTCAGCCTTCCAAGCGTATAGTAGAAACTATCTTACACTGTAAAAAAACAGTATTAATTAATTTAAAGGCAACTGTCATCAATTATTTAAGTTTTAAGTCAAACACAATATTTGAAATAAACTAAAAAAAATATTTGCCGACCTAATAATAATCTGTTGTTGAGGTAATTTTATTTAGAAAAACTTTAATCTTTGAGTTTAGAAACAGACTGAATTTTCATTATTTGCACTGTAAAAAAGGTTGAGAAAACTTCAAGCAACTGTCTTCATTTCATTTGTTTTAGGTTTAAGTCAGACTCAAAGTTTTCAAATAAACTAATGATAATGATGATTTTACTTTTCTTCTATAAAGAATAAAAGTTAATTACCTCAACAACAGATTATTATTAGGTTGGCAAAACATTTTTTAAGTTTAATTCATTGTTAAAAGTTAGAGTTTGACTTAAAATATAAACATTTAATGAAGACAGTTGACTTTAAATTATGAGTTTTCTCAACTGTTGTTTTGTTTACGCTGTAGATTGAGACATTTTTATCTACAGAGGGAGCTGGCTCTCTTCTAGTGGCGGAGTCCGCCATGTTGAACTGCCATGTTTCTACAGTAACCCTGAACGCACAAACCAAACACTGGATCTATACACGGTCTTCTGTGTTAATTCGCGGTCACCATAGTTTCTCCTCACACTGGCCCTTTAAACCTCGCGGTCTGATCCTCGCCGACTGTCAGTCAGAGAAGTGACGGCTGCATGAAACCGCTGACACGACTCGTCAATAATTAATGAGTGTACGAGTCGTTGATCTGTCGTCTCTCAGCCGTAAACAAGATGAGAAACTCTCTGTTAAATCACTTCTCGGACGCAACCGCTCATTATTCCCTCAGTCTGTTCCCACAGGGACTTCAAACGGCTGCAGGATTACAGACTGTATATATACAGCTCTGTTCAGTTTGAGGCTGGATGGGAGCAGTCTGCTCTTTGAAGCTGTGGGAGCTCACTGATAAGAGTTACATAACCCAGAATTTAAACACAGCTGCTGTTTGAATGAAGTCAGGTGAAGACAGAGAGAGACAGACTAACCTCGGAGCAGCTGCTTGATGTCCCTGCTGGCGTGCGACGTGGTGAACTGGTTGACGATGTCCAGCGCCGTCTGGTTGTAGGTGTTACGGATGTTGACGTCCACTCCCGCCTGCACGGACAAAGACACCAGTTTAACATCCAACTAACTAATCAGGATGAAACTATGCAGTTTCCCCTTCGGGGTTCTGTTGGAGGTTGATCTGATCTTACGTCAGTGTTGGACTGAAACAGGAAGGGTTGCTGCAGGGCGATGGAAAAATGAATGAACCCACAGTGACATCACTCATAAAGTTAGACAGTAAATGTGACACAGCAGCTACGCTAACCTCTTTAGCAGCCGCCATCGTTGCCACAACATCATGAAAATACACCATCTTTATGATTTTATGATTTTGTTGTTAAGTCTAACTTTTAGGAGAAGTTTGTATTGATCATGCTTTAACAACTACAAAACGAAACCGTCATGTAATCAATACTGAGTTTGCTTCATATCCTCTGTTAAATATAAATAACTAAAATGAATTCATAATGGTCTTAAAAGGTTTTAAATGTAACCTTGTCAAACCCTGTGTGATGGGCTTTTCTTTATTCGGATCTGACATGATGGTTGCTTGTGCTTTAGACTACAGGCAGAGGTCAGAGGATATTTTATTGCTGCCAGAGTTTAAGTGAATGGGTCCCCTTGAAATCAATGAAACGAGGCGGTAGAAACACTTCCCTCCATCCACTTCAACTTCGTCCTCATGATGTCTGAATGTTCCTCAACTATAAACTTGTTTCAAGAGATTTCTAGAAAAGACTGAAGGTCGATTGCTGCACTAATATGAAGAAGAATGACGGTTGACTCTAGGAAGCTTTTTAAAGAAACTGATGGTTTGACCATCATAGACATGATGACATCACTGCTACCTGTCCCACAGGTGACTGCTGACCTCGGTACTGTACGTTCTGTATGTACAAACTTACGTCCAGCAGCAGTCGGACCACCTCTGTTTTCCCGTACAGAGAAGCTTCGTGCAGAGCCGTTCCAGATTTGGTGGTCTTGTTGATGTCGATGCCAGCCTTCAGCAGCAGCCTGCAACACGACAGAGACACATGATCCACCTGTGAGTCCTGAACCTGAGCGAGAGCTTTCCTCAACTCTAAAATCAACGTATTTTCAAAGGGAGTTTGGTTAAGAGAAATCAGTTAAAATATAATTATGGTTTCAATTGTCTGGAGTCGTCCTGATCACACAGTTTTTTTAACAGGGGGAGGTGTCTTGCTATCGCTAGGCAACAGCACAGTCGGCTGTCAATCACTAGTTATTGATCACATCTAATGACTCACTGATTCTCAGCTTCATGTTTGTGTTCATTAACTGTCTGAACAGAAGGTTCTTCCTTTCTGGTCTAAAACTGTTCACATTGTGATGTTTGATTTTATGCTACTGTTTATTGAAATTGCCTCGTTTATCGTTATTTCACACAATGAATCGCATTTTTAGCGGCCGCGACAAAAACTCCAAAACGCAGGAAATATATGCATGAAAACTGCTTCACACGTGTATCATCAAAGAGTATTGGACCCAAACCCAACAGAAGGTCGGCCAAGTGTTATATTTTATACTCCTCCTATTTAATTGATCGGATCGACTTCTAATTTGGTCAGTGCAATCTAAAGACCTTCACAATGAAAAGCTATTAAAATCGTGAGTTGTCGTTAAACAGCGTGTCCATGGCGTGGCGTCGAATATTGACGTATTGTTGTGAAACAGGAAGTTGTCGTAACTTCAGTGTATATTATCCGATGTGTCTCAAACTTCAAATGTTTAATAAGAGTCTAACCCTGAACACATCTACATACCAATATTCAGTCACACTCACAGCGCCTCCTACTGGAAACAGGAAGTAAGTATTGCCTATCTATCATTTGCCTGATAAAGAAAACATCGCAAATAAACATTATATAAAAAGTTAGACAGTGTGTGGGAATTAATCTTGTTTAAAAACAAAAATAAAATGCTTTAAACTAATAAAATTATTAAAAGGAAACCTTCTGCCACTGATGCATCCAATGCGATATTATTATATATTACATACAAAAAAATCTGAAGGTTTCTGTATTTTTTAAATACATGAAAAATTACAAAAATATCCTGTTAATTTGAACTACATATAACTGGAATATTACCTTTTTTCACAGTTGTTTAAATGTTATTCAATGTAGCTGCTCTGCTTTTATCACACAGCAGGTAAAAGTCTGACTGGTAGCTTCCACTCACACACTCAGTGACACACATGTAAGAGGGATAAGAGCGCAGTGAAACTGGGTCAGAGGGATGCTGTAGTGTATTTCAGAGCCCTGCTGGGAATGTGAGGCATGAAGAAGAGACAACATTAGAGACAAAACACACACACACACACACACACACACACACACACACACACACAAGGAGAGTTCATGCTCCCACATCCCCACTGGAACGTGCCGGTTCGGTGGTTAACAACCACAAACCGCAGGAGCTCCGCCCTCTGCCTTCAACGTCCACTGAGAGGAAACACAGACTGTCTCAATGAAATGACCCATAAAGGAAAAAATACACTGATTTTACACTATGAGACTTCCACAGTTCATTAAAATAAAATGTGCAATAAATCAGGCTGTGAATGATACATGAGCAAACCCCTCAGTACAAACCTTCAGCATACAGAGAGGAATGAAACTGGAAGTTTTGGTGGATGTTAGAGCTGCTGAAGGGGAGATTTCTGGCTCAGAGTTTGAGAAAAAAACTCATTTAGAGAAAACGGTCTTAAAAGATATATATTATAAAACTCCCTACAGGTGAACAGGGTCAAAGTTTAAACTAACAGATATCAGCATGAAACTTCCCCAGTTGATTTCTTACATTAAGACAATTATTTTTTGTATTACAAGTTTTATGAAATCTTATGTATGAAAATGCAAATGAGGCATTATTTAATTAAAAATGTGATATGTGATGGAGTTCAACATATGTGCCAGTTGGTCGTTCGCTGTAGTCGTGTTCTAGTGTCACTTTTTGATCGAGACGCTGGCGACACAACAGCCACTAGTTCTTTAAAGTTTTATGAGCAAGTAAAAGGACTTTAAAATCAATCCAGGTAACCGGAGCAGGCGCGTACAGTCGACCGATGTCTCTACGTCTGGTATTCGTCAAAATCTTGGCTGAATTTACATTTTTAGGTAATCTGGTAAAGACAGATGTTTTTGTGATCTAAACAACTTGTAATAAAAGTGTCTTTCAGCAAACATTCGGAGCATTAAGCTGCTCAGTCAGTGTCACTGACTCACCGTATGATTTCTTTGTGTCCATTGCGGGCGGCGAGGTGCAGCGGTGTCGTGAAGGCCGAGTCCGTCGGCTCCTTCCTCTCTCCTTCCAACAACGCCACGACCATGTTACTGCTCAGCAGCAGCTGGGCCACCTGTGGGGGGGGGGGGCGATACAGAGGAGACACAATGAACACATCGAGTGCTGCCAGAAACCTGCAGACCCAACGGGGACCGAACAGCGTCAGAGACCCTGCAGGTGAGTGTGAGGTAATACCTCAGTGACCCAAAACACCAGAGAGGACTCCAGATGTTTGGCAGCGCACACAGTGAGTCACAGCTGGAAGTTCAAAGTTCACTCTCAGTATAAAAACGTCAGTTTTAAATGACAGAGTCTGAACATTGTTGGAAACATTTGGGAAAATGTAAGAAACTCAACTACATATAGAACATATAGTTTATACACTGTTTAATGATTATAGATTATTGATTGAATCAACTACATATAGAACATATAGTTTATACACTGTTTAATGATTATAGATTATGGATTGAATCAACTACATATAGAACATAGAGCTAGAGTTCATATACTGTTTAATGAGGAAATGTTACTGATTTGAGCTTTAAGGTTGTTAAATTCATCTTAACTCACTGAAGCTGAAATATTTAAACCTCCGTCACATTCAGATCACGTCTGCTGCATCATTTTAGAGACTTTTGGGCTTTTTGAGATCTTGAATAAATTTAAAAATAAAGTTCTGTGAGGTCGACTGGAAGGTTTCTACTGACTGAAGAGTTTTTAGGAGGAGGTGAAACAGAGGAGAGCTGAATGGAAACTCAGCAGCTGGTGTCGACGACGACACACCCCAACATCACTGAGTGACAGCTGAGGCCTGAACACACACACACACACACACACACACACACACACACACTCTAAAGATATCTCGGTGAATGGGGGGGGTCAGGCTTCACTTTCATGTCTCATTTAACAAACTTCAGTCAAAACAAAGACGACGTCGACGAGGAACCTCAGCTCCATCTTGACCCTTCTCCTCTCAGCGGGAAATAAAACCCGACACAAACACTTCCTCCTCGCTCCGCTCCGTGTCACATGACCACGAGACCTTTAAGAGCAGAACAGACTGCAGAAGTACTCGAGTACTCAGTGAAATGACGGTCTCGTAGAACAACCAGTTTGATGATGAACCATTCAACCTCTCATCACCTCGTGTGCTAACGTTAGCAGTGTAAGCAACCGCCGTTGTGATGCTACCAGGGCAGACAACATTAGCTGGCTCATAACAACAGTGGTGAGATAAGCTCCCATTAAACTTTGTGGAAGGAGGAGGAGCTGGAGTACAAGCTGCCCTCATGGTGAACAACAATTACAATAACAGAGAAGATGTGTGAGGAAAGTGTTGAATAATATTAACTGTTTAGTCACAGCTACGGGCCAAAGTGGCAGCCAAGTGTGAAATAATAGTGGACGCACTTTGACGGTACACAAGGATTAGCTATCGTCACATAGCAGCCATAGCAGCTTGTTTTCTCATCTAATTTGGTGAATTAAGGATTTATTTCCACCAAACGAGAGTTGGTGATTGTGGGATGGTTTTGGTGAGTTTTATTCTGTATTTGTCCAGTTTGAAGTGTGTTTATTATCTTCAAGCTAAAATTACTGGTTTTGTGAATGGAGTCTGGTGGGCTGACTGTGTTGAGACGGTGGTGCTCTCGAGTGGCAGTGAATATTGTTTACATAACCTTTAGCTGCCACAAGAGAGTGAGAAAAAAATACCATACAAAGATAACAGTGATGTTTACTGACACAGAAAAGTAGCCGTGGCAACGCAATCTGTGTGTGTGTGTGTGTGTGTGTGTGTGTGTGTGTGTGTTTGTCCAGCTGTGACTGTGTGTTGTCAAACCATCAGTTTCACTTTGAAGGACATTGCTTTGGACTTACACTCATCTCCTGGAGACTCAACACCAACCCTGATTATAATCTCAACTTTAAAACCCTGAATACTAAAGTTTAATCATTTACATTGTGGGGACATTTTCTTTGTCCCCGTAAGGGAGATAAAACTAAATAATTAAAATACCAAAACAACCTGAACTCACCTGGACTCTTCCGAACTCACAGGCCAGGTCCAGAGGAGTCTTCTTGGCCTTGTTTACCAGACAGGGGTTGGACTGATGCTGCAGCAGCATCTCAGACTGAAAACAAACAAACAAACAAACAAAAAGTCACACAACTTTATTTTATGAATGAAAAGCACAAGAGGAGATTTAAAAGATTCACACAACAGGAAGTTCAGAGCTAAATAAATTAATATATATTGGTAGAAACATGTCAAAGTAAGGAAACAGGGATTATGAGGCGATCTGCTGTGTATGTTAATGGAAGGACGATGTTTGGATGTAATCCTGATTTACGGTACCTTTCGGGGACGCATTTTAAGACCAGTTAAGTGGGGACGATGTTTCCAATCGGGGACAAAAGCCCCCAGTTAGAAAAAAGAGGATTTTTGGGCCAGTGGTTTAGGTTAGGGTTATGGGATGTTCACACAGTTTGTCCTGCTGAACATTAAAAAAAACTGTATTTTCTGAAACAGAATTTAAAGGAACAGTTCAGCATGTTGGGACTCACTTTATTCCTGAGACGGTCAGATAGATCTCAGTATCATGTCTGTGCTCACTACAGATTGTGGTTAGCTTAGCTTAGCATAAAGACTGTAAACAGGGGGAAACTGCTAGCCTCTGTGTGTGTGAGGCAGCGTCTCGGCCCTTAGAGGGTTTTGTTATTTCGATGCTGTAATGTGGATAATGTTTCACCACCTCTCAGCCAATCAGATGACGTAATGTGTCCCACACACAAACACACACACACACACACACACACACACACACACACACACACACACACACACACACACACACACACACACACACACACACACACACACACACACACACACAGGCTGGATAAACAAAGACAGTTGTGTGTTATTATCACAGCTCTGCAGGATGGATTACTGTAACAGAGGAGATTTCAATAAAAACCCTCAACAGGAACCTACAGGTCTAAAACTGTTCACTCTGCTGAGAAACTCACATTTTAAAGGTCTGTCTTCACTAAATGAAACTCAAACTTTTAGGTTTTGAAATTAACTTTTGTCAACCAAATAATAATCTGTTGTTGAGATAATTTACTTTTCTTCTTTAGAAAAACTTAAATCTTTGAGTTTTAGAAATAAAAAGTGAACCTGAGTTTTCATTATTCGGCTGCTTAAAAGTTAAATAAATTCAGTTGAAAACATTTGTTATGTAATTATGTTTTTCTGAGTTCTGAAATACAAATTTTGTTTGCAAAGATTAAAGTAAAGATTAAAGTTTTTCCAAAGAAGAAAAGTAAATTATCATTATTATCAAAACTGTACTAAAAAATAAAACATAGTGGAGTAAATCATTTAAAATGTACAGTATGAGCAGAGCTAATGTAAAAGAAGTGTTTAAATAAATGAGCTGCCGTCTGGCGTCTGTACTGACAGTGTTGACATAACTGTGATAATCTGATGTGTTTAAAGACTTTATTTTGACACAAAGACATAATCAGATGTTTTTTGGACATCAACAGTTAAATCTCACTAAAGTCTTCCTCAGCGGGGGGGTCACAGATACAAACAGTTCACCTACATTCATCTTAATCCTGAACAAAATCCGACCTCTGGATTATTAAAGTTCATTTCATCAGTCAAAACATCCCCTCACATCTGTCCCGCTGAGACAGACACACAAACAGGGTCTAATCACACCCCCGCCTAAAATCTGACAACCCCCTCCCTGCTCTTCCTCTTCCTCATCATCAACATCTGAATCCACAAATCCTCCATCCAGCACCGCTCCTCCTGCTACGTCCTCCTCTGCCCACCTCCCCCAGCCTCCCCTCTGAGTGGGAGTCTGTGCTGTTGCTAACCCTCTACATAGTATTTTTATATTGTGGCGCAGTGGTTCGGACTTTAGACGGAGAGTTAGCCTCTCTGAGCCGCTAGCTTAGCTACAACACAGCCTCTTTTACAAACAGCGTGAATGTGCTTCTAGTGCCTGTAGAAGCTCCAGTGGACACAGAGAGCAGGTATCAGGACTCACCACTTCGTAGTGTCCGTACTGCGCTGCCAGGTGCAGAGGGATGTGTCCGTCCAGGGAGACGCCGTTGACCGACGCTCCGGAGCGAAGCAGCATCAGAACAGACTCAGCTTTTCCCTGCCAGGCTGCGTAATGCAGCGGACGCATTCCTGCATCAACAAACACATGTTAACATTCATCATCTTTATTAGCATCTGTTTTTATCTGATCAGTCAGCGCTGGAAGAGGAAGTACTCAACACAACAGAGGAGAAATACTTGTACAGTAAATTGTGATGATGTAAACGAGCTGCAGTGAATGCAGCACAGCTGTTAATCTGCTGTGATGTTCTGAACCAGCTGATACTGTCACACACACACACACACACACACACACACACACACACACACACACACACACACACACACGTCATGTGATAGAAAACAAAATCTGCTCTCAGCAGCACCAACTGTTAAATAAACTGTTTATTGGTCGGTGAGGATTTGATCTGATCAGAAGTTGAACATTTTAAATTTTCACTGGAGCCACAGATGTTAAAGTCTGACACACACAAACATATTAATCATCAAGTTCAATCAAGTTCCTCTTAGAGAAAGTTTGTAGTTTATAATAAGTGTCTGTTGTTCCACATCTGGCCGACTGCTGAAGGCTCAATACGATACTGAACCCCACAGTGAGTAAGTGAGGTTGGATAGGAAGCACTGTGTTGTGTTTTAAAACACTTACAGTGGTTAATAAACCAGCTAATTTACATCAGTTTACAAAGACCAGTCGTATTTTATTGTTAGATTTTATTAATACATTCAGGTTTACACAGGTTCTGTCTTCCTTTGTGTTCTCTGCAAGTTTCATTATAGACCAATCTGTGTGCTGAAAGGACGAGAAAAGCCTCAAACACTGGAGAATGCTGCAGAAACCGATGCTCACTGTAAAACATCCAGGACCTGTGTACGTTTGCAGCACTTCTTCCATTAAGTTCTTCTGATGCTGATTCGAACGGGACTATTATCACTGTGTTTGGCGAAATATGGTCAATAATGGTGGAATTCTTACTTTACAAATGGCGTACATGACAGATTCACACAGGATTAAGATCAGGTCATGAGGTCCCCTGATAATACTGGTCCCATGTGTACCGGGCTTCAGACGCCAGGAAGGTGTGTGTCAGTCTCACCGTTACTGTCTTTGACGTCCACGGTGGCCTGAGCCTCCAGCAGCGCAGACAGCAGCTCCGTGGTCCCTGTGAGAGCCGCATGGTGCAACGCCGAAAACCTGGTCAAAGGTCACAGCAGAGAGAGAGCGATAAAGAGAGAGAGAGAGAGAGAGAGAGCATTATAAACTGTCCACAGTGTTTATTAAATGTTTTTAACCTACAACCTCCATGACAGATGTATATATGGCGTCCAGTGTGAGACACAGTGGTCTGAACTTTACGTAACTGACTACAGCAGAACTTAACAATCTGAACGTATTCAACCTGGTGCTGTGTTGTTTGTTTGTTTTTCTGTTGTGTTGGTTAAGTTGTGACCCCTGCTGTTTTTAGGTTTTATTAAGATAGTGGTTCTATACATATCTGGAACTGGAGTACATGTAATCGTTGCCAGAACCTCAATAAAAAAAAAAAAAAAAACAGAAATAAAATGGTCTTTTTTAACATAGACTGAAAACAGCTATCCGATGTTTCACAGTGTTTATAGCAGATGTTAATTCGTAACACCCGTCCCTTTAAAGGCCTTTAATGAAAAGGTTAAGACAGGAAGGTAAAAAGAGAATAAACTGAATAACAAAAACATACATAAAACACAAAATTAAAGACGACACATTTAAAAACAAACTTCAGATTCCTGTCGACCGGTTTCACCACCCAGCTGGATCGGTCCCCACAGAGACACTAAAACACACCACATCACACACACACTGCGTCTCATTAAGAGTCCTCACAGAGACTGTAAATACAGTTCATATAAAAACACATCAGAGTCTCACGTTTAACAAGAGACTTTATGGAAAAGACTTGAAATTAAAACTCAATATGGAGCAGAAACCCCCTCTCTCCTCCTCCTCTTCCTCCTCTTCCTCCTCCTCCTCTTCCTCCTCTGAATCTTGGATCAGTTCTGGGTGACACACAGTCATTAAATCTGATTAAATTAATAAAAATAAGCCGTATTATTGCAGCTCTACTGAGGAGGTCACGCTGCAGAATGTGTGTGTCTGAACATGAGGGAGAGTCAGAGTGAGTCAGACGTCGACCTGCAGCTACAGGTAAACCACAACACCTGGGAACACATCAGGGCCCCGGTCACACCCTCTGGAACCAGACCTACAGGATCTGTTCACATGTGGACCCCGTGGTCTCCGTCCAGGGGCCGACCAGTACCACAGGAATAATCGTTAGCTGATAATAATTACACATACATTTATTAATGCTGAAACAATTAGTCGATTATAAATTAACTAACTAACTTTAATTATTGATTATTGAAGTTATTGACATAAATAGAGCTGATTGTCAGCAGCAAATGTCAAAGTGTATTTAATAATAATAATAATATTTCACCTATCGTGATTCACATATATATGAACTGACTAGCACTTATCATCGTTTAGCTCGATGCTAACACAAGATGGGAATTACCATTAATGCGCTAAGGGAAATTAGCACTGTAGTAATATTACCTTAAACAATTTTATTTCACATGCTGAACATAAAACAACATGTTCTCATATTTCTATCCAACTAATAGCTGCTAATAGGGCAGCACACTGACTGTATATATTTATATTTTCTGCCGCCGTTACTGCGGTGGCGAGTCGTAGTGACACAGCAGCATTATGGGTAGTTTCTGATGAAGGTTCTTTATATGGATGAAGATCTCATTCAGATTTTACATATTAAAGAGAATTTTGTTACGATAATATCCAGAAACAAACAGCTGTACGAGCTTACACTAGCACTCATATTACTGTACAGACTCTTTTATAGACAATATATTTAATTTCCTGCCCCCCCACCCCACCCGCCCCCCCACAACGTGCCCCACATGAAGCCGCCACATTAAAGCAGGACAGGAAACAGAGCTACAGGCTACATGAGGAGGTCTGTAAATAAAGCATCAGAGGAGAAAGGAGTGAATACAGAGGGAGGGCTGGTTTTTAGTGCTTCCTTTCTCTCTGTTGCGTAATGTGAGCGATGGCATTCAGAGCCAGACAGCGCCGAGGGCCGCTGCCACAGTAATGGACGGGTTACTGAGAGCGGGAGAGAGTGACAGGAGGAGGAGGAAGAGGAGGAAGAGGAGGAGGAATCCTTCATCAGCAGCGTCGTCTGAGGCTTTAAACTCGAGTTCGTACGAGATAATTAGTGAGAGTCCCTGAAGGCAGCAGAGGAAGGAGGTCGTTATTATCGGACTGTTTGTGATGATCAATATCTGATATTACAATAATTGATCTGACAGCTTACAGCAACATGAACCAGGAGGTGATGAACACCAGAGTTTAATGTGAGAAATATTCAGCAGTTTCACACTGACAGACGCTGACCTGCACATGTTGGACAATTAGCATAGTTAGCACCTGTTAGCAGCTTTCCTCTTCCTCCCCCTCCTCCCCCCTCCTCCCCCCTCCTCCCCCATCTGGGAGAACGAGGCCCTCTGTGACCTCACCTCTCATCACCACCGCCACTCCACAGCGAGAGGACAGAGGGGGGACAGAGGGGGAGGGGGAGGCTGTGACCCCCTCCCCCTCCTCCCCCTCCTCCCCCCCCTCCTCAGAGCTACTCTGAAGTACAGACTCAAGGTGAGTATTTACATTTTATACAACTTTATACTTCGACTACATCTCAGAGACAGATACACCCCGACCGGCCGGGAGCAAGAGGCGCACTGTTTATTGTTGTTACCACGACAACGAAGGTCACCTGACTATGACGACGACTTTCCTGCACGACTAAAACTCCTAAAATGTTTCCCGCCTCTACCGGCGCTAAATGTCTGTAACAGAGACCTGTCAGCTTCAGCCTCAGTCTGTTGATCCAGTGTGAAGCCACATTGTTACCATCCACTGTTTACATCTTGGTGCTTTTTAACTCTAGATTTGAACCGGATGAAGGATTTTAGTCATCGGACGTCTGGATCTTAAGTTATCAGAGAAACAAACTGAGGTAAGGTTAGCAGCAGCTGTTATCGACGTTTCTCTGCCTCACATTCAAATCAGTTTTCATTTCACATCAGAGATTATTCATTTCCAAGAAGGCCAACAGAAATGATCTTGTGATATTCAGTTTTTAATAATTAACCCTCAGTGTCGGCGTGGAGGACGGCACTGACCCGGCACAGACCGGATGTTGCTCCCTCGCAGTCTCGCGTCAGTGCACATCAGTTATGTCTGTTCCTCGGAGAGCTCGGCAGACGCAGCAGCAGAGTTCCAGCGTGTTCGTGTTCACAGTTTGTTCATTTACCGTTTTACGAGAGGAGGTTTTTTTTACGAGCAGCTCTTTATGAGTGCAGGTCGGGCATGTTGGCACACGGAGAACATGTGACAGTGAAAAGACTCAGACGTCCTCTGGCACACACTGGATTCATCAGGTCCATTTCACATTACTATTATTATCAGTGTAATAAGTGGAAGCTACAATCCTTTTCTGTGTTCAGGTTTCTGTTTCCAGTTATTGATCATTTAATGGGTTTCATTAGCATCTTAAATCTTTCCTAACCAGGTGCTTATTGGAGGAATCTCTCCTTTTCAAAGCTGTTTACTACGACAAACTATTACAGATATTGTGACTTTAGACTTTTTAAGAGCCTGTGGACATCCTGTATCGTGTGTTTCTTATAGTAATAATGACTCTTTTACTTTTTCATTCGTTTTTGTTCTCTAAATGCTAAATGTTCACACTAATGTTAAAGGAAATAAACACTTTAAAATATCTCTGAGTACAGAAATTAAAGGGGGCTTTTACATTTGGTTTAATTAAACTGTTGTAATCTATGTTAACTGTTTTGTGGACAACTTTTCTATCATTTAATAAACTGACTCAGTGACATATTTTATATTCGATATTTCATATTATATTAAAAACTGTACAATGGAGCCAAACACTGAACTCAGTAACTGCAGGAAGTTTGTATAAACCAGAGTTTATTTATACAAGTCTCTGTCTATATAAAGTATTTTATCAAACAGACTTAAGATTCTTTTCTGACAAATTCAGTGTTTTCTTGGTGCCTGGCTTTTGCTCTATTAGATTTCTTCTATTCTAGTTCCATTTTCTTTACAGAAGTGAAGATATCAACCTACTGTGTGTATATTTGTGTGTCTGTGAAGCTTTGGCGACCTCCAGGTTGGGAACCACTGCTGTAGCTGGTAGTTTCTGTCATTCAAATCCTCCTAATTAAGAATTTCCATGAATTCAGCAACACGTTTAGTCAGATTTTGTAATTATGGACTATAAAAAGGAGCCTAAAAGTTAACTTTAACAGCACAGATGAGGATTCTGTTGGGAGTTTCTGTCACAGCGACTCAGGACAAAAGGCCCAGAGCTCCCACCGTCACAGGCACCCATTCCAGCTCCGCTCTCCATAGAAACACGTCCAAACACTGAGCCAGCGGAGCCGCCGGAGCCGCCGGAGCCAGCGGAGCCGCCAGCACACACTCAAACACTAATTTGTCTCACAGGGATGCAGAAAGGAAACCTCCTCTATACCCAGTGTGTGTTTGTTTCTCTCACACACACACACACACACACACACACACACACACACACACACACACACACTCTGGGGGATGAATGGCCGACGTGCACAAACACTTACACACCCTCAATAACGCTGATTTATGAGTGAGGTCACACTTCCTTTCATGAAATCACAGCCTGAGTGCAGACAGGTGTGTGGGTACACCTAGAGAGGCGGGGCGAGGGCGGATTTAATCCCGCGATCGGTGACGAAACCTTGGCGAGGCGTGAAAGTGTCTGAGCCGGGAGGAAAGTATGTCAGCCGTTGTTCGCAGGGTTTTGGCGAGGCGAGCTGGATGCCTTTCTGTTTCACTAAACATAACCTCAGGCTCCGTTCTTCTTGAATCTGAGTCTGTCAACAACACGCACCGCCGCTGCTGAATAACGACTGATTAACATTTCTGCAGACGATCAAAAGCAAACATTAATAATCCTGAATAATCTAGAATGGTCATTTTTAGTCAGTAACAGACAGTAACAGTCAATAACAGTCAGTAACAGTCAGTAACAGTCAGTAACAGACAATAACGGTCAGTAACAGACAGTAACAGTCAGTAAGGCTGCTCAATTAATCGAAATTTGATCATGATTACAATTTTGGGGCCAAACGATCTCAAAACTAATAAAATCGGAGGGAAACGATTTTTTTTTTCATTTTCTGTTGTGCAACGTTGTATAGAAAAAAGCTGAGCCCCTGAATTGGGACACAGCCACAGTCTGCGTATTTCGCGTGTGCTTATTTCCGTCCCTCCCCCGCAGCAAGCACTGCACATCATGCGCTCCGTATACTCGCTGTTCCCGACCTGTCGTGCAACAATGTGAAGTCACGGGAGCGCCGTAACTATTTATACTTGCGCTGGTGGTCGCGACACTAGTTGCAGTCTTCTCCTGTCATGTTGTTTTCGTTTGAACAGGTAAGTTTAAAAAAATAATAGTTTGAATAAGTTCTCTGTCTATATAAAGTATTTTATCAAACAGACTTAAGATTCTTTTCTGACAAATTCAGTGTTTTCTTGTTTTCTTTCTATTAGATTTCTTCTATTCTAGTTCCATTTTCTTTACAGAAGTGAAGATATCAACCTACTGTGTGTATATTTGTGTGTCTGTGAAGCTTTGGCGACCTCCAGGTTGGGAACCACTGCTGTAGCTGGTAGTTTCTGTCATTCAAATCCTCCTAATTAAGAATTTCCATGAATTCAGCAACACGTTTAGTCAGATTTTGTGATTTTGGACTATAAAAAGGAGCCTAAAAGTTAACTTTAACAGCACAGATGAGGATTCTGTTGGGAGTTTCTGTCACAGCGACTCAGGACAAAAGGCCCAGAGCTTGAATAATCGTGATTTCAATTTTGACCCAAATACTTGTGATTATGATTTTTTACATAATCGAGCAGCCCTAACAGTAAATAAAAAAAAAAAAAAAAAAAAAAAAAAAAAAAAAAAAAAAAAAAAAAAAAAAAAAAAAAAAAAAAAAAAAAAAAAAAAAAAAAAAAAAAAAAAAACAGTAACAGCAATAACAGTCAGTAACAGTCAGTAACAGTCAGTAATAAAGACAGTAGAACAGTCAGTAACAGTCAGTAACAGACAGTAACAGTCAGTAACAGACAATAACAGTCAGTAACAGTCAGTAACAGTCAGTAATAACACAGTAACAGACAGTAACAGTCAGTAACAGTCAGTAACAGTCAGTAACAGTCAGTAATAACAGACAGTAACAGTCAGTAACAGTCAGTAATAACAGTCAATAACAGTCAGTAATAACAGTACAGTCAGTAATAACAGTCAGTAACAGACAGTAACTTACTGTCTGTTATTGACTGTTACTGACTGCATTGAGCAGAGGAACCCGTGAGAACGTCTCTGTGCTCTGACTGACTCTGCAATAACACGATCTGACAGCAACAAACGAAGCCGCTGATGTGCCGGCTGAACACTGGAGGATTGTGGGAAGTTGGGGATGTTGTGTTTAGATGGTGCGATTACTGCAGCGGGGGCAGAGCTCCGTCTGAGCTCCGCCGCCCGGCGAGCCGCCGGCAGCGGCTGATGAATAATGAAAAACCTTTTCCTGCCTGAGATCCATCATCCCTGTGGAGACTATTATCCCCAACACACACACACACACACACACACACACACACACACACACACACACACACACACACACACACACACACACAGACACACACACACACACACACACACACACACACACACTGACACACACACACGACACACACACAGACACACACACAGACACACACACACACTGACACACACACACACACACACACACACACACACACACACACACACACACACACACACACACACACACACACACACAGACACACACACACACTGACACACACACACACACATTGAATTTGTATGAATTTTAAGATCCACTTGAAACCGTTAAATTTAAGTAGAGCTTCAGAGAACTGTTAGAATTGTTCTTTAATTTTAAACAACTAATGTATTTATCAACTAGCTACTTACAACTAATCAGCTGACGTTAGCAAACACACTACCAGCAGTCAGACAACTTTATCAAAGATACAGTGTATTCTGATCAATAATCAATAAAGATACAGTGTATTCTGATCAATAATCAATAAAGATACAGTGTATTCTGATCAATAATCAATAAAGATACAGTGTATTCTGATCAATAGAATCTCGTCAGACACTATGTGTACAGAGGTTTGTTTATCGTCCCCCTCTGGATGGAGGACTAACTCCCTCCTCAGCTGTCAGTGTTGCATTAAGTCATCCAGCCTCTTTGTAAACACTCCTATCTGATCGGTTGCGGTCCGGCCCTCTGCTCCTTGACCTCTGACCTCCCTGGGCCCCCCTCTGCCCTCTGAGGGGCCAAAGGGGTCTGACACTCGACAATGTCTGCGGATGATGTGCTGGTTCACAGTCTCTAACTCTGGAGGTTTACGGCTCTTTCTAGACTCTCTCGGACTCTCTCAGCATGCTAATATTTGTCCAGCTGAGGCTGATGGGAACGTCTGTAGTTCTGCAGGTATTTGATCATAAACTAAAGTACTGCACACTTTAAATGTTGACCTGCTGGTGGCGCTAGAGGAAAAGTGAATGTCTGAACCACATTTCATCAGAAACCTCCAGCGGTGGATTCGTCTCAATGGAGTCAGTTTAAAAGGAAAGTTGCTATAAAATCTGTCAGGTGAAAGTAAAGTGCGGTGAGACGTCTATAAAGAGTCTGCTGAGAGGAAACAGCAGCGAGACGTTACATTAAACTTTTAACAAAGAGAAATATTGATGAGGAGAAACTTTCTTCATCAGGATAATGAGCTTCGAGTCAGCGTAACGGAGGACAAAATCACTGAATCTGCTGACTCAGCCAGACGCGGCCAACAGGTCCGAGTCCAGGATCTGGCCTCCAGCAGTGGAAACAGTTTTATAGAAGCAGAGGGAGAGCAGGAATGACTTCATCACTCACCCGTCTGAGTCCTGGTAGTTCACATTCAGTCTCTTGGTGGAGCCCAGCAACTCTGGAAGAAACAGAAAACACAGAATCTGATCAGTCTGGACCTGTTGTCTGTCCTCCAGAACCTCCTCTAACAGCAGGTTCAGGATCTCAGTCAGTGTCTGGGAGGAGGTCTGTGGATGTTCCCTCTCTGCTGGACCTCCTGAGGAAGCTTCATTAGCTTCTGACTCGGGTTCCTCGGCCTCCTACCACTCGTGTCTGACAGACGGGTCTCTGTTCGGTACCGCGGTCATATTATAACGCCACGCTCACTGACTCTGCTGTGAGTCAGAGATCAGTGCAGCTTCCTAAAACATCAGAGCAACACGAATCCTGGTTTCTGACAACGTCTATGTGTATAAATGTGTTATAAATGTGTAAATATGTTATAAATGTGTATAAATCTATATAAATGTGTATAAATCTATATAAATGTGTATAAATATGGATAAATGTGTTATAAATGTATATAAATATGTTACAAATGTGTATAAATCTATATAAATGTGTATAAATATGTTTATTTCTAACTCTCAGACACTGATGTTGGATATATATATAAATATAAAAACTCTGTTCTCGCTCATGTTCAAAAACAATCTTACTATGAGGAAAAACACTTTTTCTCATTTCTGAGCTGATTATCACCAACAGGCTGAACACACACTGTAAAACCAGCTCATTTTAAGGCATTTACATTTTAATTATTGGTGATTTAACGTAAACACAGCGACTGAAGGTGAGCAGTCGGCGTTTACTGCCACAGGTCACACACAGGAGGTCACAGGAGGTCACAAGAGGGGATGATGGGAAACAGATCGCAGACACTGGAGACCAGCAGACAGCAGCTTCACACCGCCCCCCCGCCTCAAACATCTACCTCCAGCAACCCCCCCACCCTCTCCGACAATACAGCGTTTGAAGTGTTTCAGATCTCAGAGAAACGCGGCAGGCTCTCCCTCCGGGGATCACAGCGCCGCTTTGATAATGACCTGGATTTTATAATTAATGGGAATTAATCAGCACAAGACAAAAATGAAAACCCAGACGCACACTGAAGACACAGAGACGTAAATACGGTCTCATTAAAAGTCTTCTTTCTGGAAGACTGTCAACAAATAAACCACTGCAGCTCTGAAAGCTCACCATACCTCAAATTCCCCGAAAGGTTTTATATCTGAAACTCACTGCCAGTAGAGGTCGCACTAGAGCACCAGCAAAACAACGGCCGCTACGGCCCACCAGACTCCATTCATAAAACCAATGATTTTACCAAAACACACTTCAAAGTGGACAGAAACTAAATAAAACTCACCAACAACGTCTCTCTTAGTGTTTCCAACAATCACCAACTCTGGTTTGGTGGAAATAAATCCTTAATTCACCGACGTAGATTATAAAATAGCTGCAAAACAGTCTGCAACTGTTATTGTCAGTGTCTGACAGCATTATGGAAAGGATCCCTACAGAGATAGACCTTTAGTTTAACCACAAACAGCCGTAATATCACTATCACTCTCCACCAGACTCCAGAGACAAAAACACTAATTTTACCTTCAGATCATCGTAACTTCATTAAAGTGGACAGAAACAGAATAAAACTCACCTCCTTATGGAAGTCCATTTCCAAACTTAGCCTTGATAATAAAACAATTCATGTAAAGTCAAAATTAGGAGACAAAACTTCATCTCATGATTTCAACTGACAACTTCTCATCTTTTGTTTTTATTTTACTGGCAGAAATGGGCTTCCATAGAAAACTCTCTCAGAGCAGTTTGGGAATAAAACCTTTAGTTTCTGGTTGTAAATGAGACATTAATCTTTGTCTCTGAGTAATAACACTGATCTGATATCAGAGCTTCAGCAACAGGAAGCAGCGAGCGGCTGATGTTAAATGTCGTCTCCAGCAGCCGTCTGAAGGCCATCATCATCTGCTGCACATTTGTTCAGAGTTATTTCTGATGCTGTTTATGGAGCGAGGCGGAGCTGCAGCCACTCAGCCTCTTTTTATAAATCCAGCTCAAAGTTTAACGTCCCGTGGATCTGCTGCCACAAGAATGCAGCAGGAGGAGGTTTCTGCAGGAGTCTGCACATTCGAGAGGTCTCGTCGGGATGGTGGAGCGGTCTGAAAGAGAATCTGTTGTAAAAAATCTACAGGCTAAAATTAGACAACCGCTGCGAGTATCAAATGTATGATTATACGTCTGCAGGCAACGCCTCTCACATCTTTTTGTTTCTCGTGGACGAGGTCATAAACAAACGACACGGCAGCTCCTCTCCTCTCATTGTGGTGAAGCAGCTCGGCACTAAATATAAGTTTTCTTTTTCAAGAAATCTGGACGTCCTCCAAACGCACCACGACAGACTGAAGCTGCTTCAGATTACACCTCCAGACTAAATATAAAGTGTTATCAGCAGCCGTAAGACACCGAACACATCTTCATCTGGTTAATGAAGCAAACTGAAGGCTGTTAATATCAACACTTACTATACGTGGCCAAAAGTATGTGGACACGCAAACATTAAAGTTCTGGTGAAGTTCAGCAGCGGTTTACTGTCTGCTCTGAGCACAGCTTCAATTTAAGACTTATTTTATGTTCATACAGCCAAAAAATATGAAGGTGAATCACTGTTGGTTTCCTTTTGTAGTTGTTACAGGATGATCAATACACAAAACCAGAAAATTCTACTTTACACGAGTAACTTCATTAATCCAAACAATTCTCAGAGCTGTAAAAATCATATTTAAAAGGTCCGGAGAGTGACATTTATTGTCAGAAATGTAATATAATATTTATAGGTATGTTTTCATTAGTGTAATCATCTGAATCTTTGTGTTTTTGTTGCCTTAGAATGAGACGTTGTTATCTACAGAGGAAGCAGGAGTCCCACATGTTTCTATAGTGGCTCAGAACGTACCAAACACTGGTTTTAGATGGGGTCTTTTTGCACTTTTCATGGCCATCGTAGTTTCTCCTACACACTCAGAAGGAGAGGGTGAGGCGAGGGAGTAGCAATTGCAATTACACCGACACTGAATCCGACACACTGGCAGAGTGCAGGCTGTTAGAGCAGCAGGTAAAACAAGGTGGAGTCATTAGTCGTGTTTCCATCAATGTGTTTTTATCTCAGTATCGATTGTCGGGTTGTAGTTTATTCTTAAAAAGGACATATTATCATAAACGTTCATCTACAAGTCGATGATGAACATTTTTTTGACTTAATGAAAACCAGCAGTAACAAAATGTTAAACTGATTAAATCTGCAGGATATTATTTCATTATTAAATCAATAATAAATAATCAGTGGTTGCAGCCGTCCTCATTAAAGCTTCAGTATGGGTTCGGTTCAGAATCCGGCCTTCAGACCCCCCCACAGGTCGACCTGCAGTCTGTGATAGAGGCTTCGTTTCAGGCAGCAGGTCTGTTTGAAGATTCGCTCTCGAGGGGAAACGCGGGCACCAATCAGCAGCTCTCCTCTCTCCTCCCGTCCTCCCCCGTCCTCCCCTCTGGCCTTCAGAGAGGCTGGCACAGGAACACAGGAAGCTGCTGAAGTGTTTGTCCAAAGCGGGACTCGTCTCTCTCTTATCTGCAGACTGAAAGAGGACGGTGACGGCAGCGCAGCGCAGAGACATGAAGCTTTTCTTATCAGGTCTCCAGGACGAGGAGGTTTGTCCCTTCAGCCTGTCCTCCAGCTCCGAGTCAAGTCTGGATGCAGATGACAACAGCTGCTCCGGTCCAACCCCCCCCCAAAGTCTGGACTCAGAGCCAAACTGGACCTCAATCACACGGATGCAAATACAGACGGGTTGTTATCAGTTTACTCGCTGTACAGTGCAAACACAGTGTAGATGTTAGATATCAGTCTCAGTGAGACACTATTCAATGTCTTCACCGCTAACAAAGACCGACTGTTGTCAAACCTCAGCAGTAAATGATTAAATAAAGGATTTCCTGCGTCACTGAAGTCATTAAAGATCAAACTGAAGGGACAGAGAGGTGAACTGAACACACAGCTGGACACACTGAGGAGGGAAAGTCCATCAGAGACGCTTCCTCCCGCCTTTGTTAGCAAGCAGCCGCTGTTTCCTGAGACTCTGGTCCTTTGGTCAGCAGATCAGCAGCTCGGCGTCGGACCGCGAACACACGGAGCTCCACAGAAAGGTTTCAGCCGACTGTGAACGTCTCTGAACGGTTTGTGGAGTCCTGTTTGCTTTATGGTTGTCATTCAGTCGGCCATTTTGGTTTTCGGTGACGTACTGGCAACCTACAGTTGAGCTGCTCTCATTGGCAGAAACGTGAGGCGAATATTTGCCCTTTAATCTGGTTCCAACGGCCGTATGAGCACAAGATAAAGAGACGTTTCTGTGATTTAATGTCAATAAACTAATCAACAACAGATTATAAAATGTAAAAACGTAGTGTGGATGTGTGTGTGTGTGTGTGTGTGTGTCCTCCTGTACCGACTGTATTAGTGTGTTACAGCTCCTGCTACAGACTTCCTCCTCGTACATTAACCTCCATCAGGAGGACGTAGCAGGGCTCCGGTTCCACTCGGCTTCGTTCTTTAGCGGCTGTGAAGGTAAACGCGTTGTTTACATTCCTGTGCAGCGCTGCAGCTCGGAGACGTCCGCGGGTTCAGGCTCAGGTAGGACGCCGATGGAGGAATGAGGCCGGTCTTATCGGCTCTGCTGTGTGTGTGAGTGACGTCGGCGTTATCAGCTGCCGATAAAGTGGCTCTAAGAAAGCAGCAGGAGGAGCCGGAGGGATGAGGTTCACAATCATTACTGCTGTTTCTGTTAGAGTTTAACAGATTATAATAATTGTATTAACATCAGAAACATCATTATAGTTCTCCCTCTGTATAAACTGATGTGGTTGTTGAGATATTTCCTGGTTCTGTGCAGCAGTGTGAACATAGAGAGTGAATGCAGCAGCAGGAGGTGGAACATAAAGAACATAAAGCTCAGAAAGTGAGTTGGAGAACATCAGTCAGTTTCTCTGTTCTCTCAGTCTGTCACTCAG